AAAGAAAAGAAAAACGAGGCAAAGCCAAAAATGGCAAACTGGAAAAAAGCGTTGAAATAAAGCAAAGCCAAAGAATAAATACACTAACAAGCGATATTATGTTAAACTATGCTCTTATCTAATTCGAAACACAAATTGACAAGCGATTGAAAGTCTATTAAATATTGGATAGATCTCTAGAATCAAGTGGAAGATATTTACGAATTTTATGGCACTTAAACTTCTAGCAGACTTAGTATCGATTTTAATGGTAGAAGTTTTTAGTCATAATAATAAAATAACTTTAAGAACTCAAATCGGTTTCAAAAATACATTTCTAGCATCTAATAAGAGATATTATAGAATTAAATGAATCAATTTGATGAAACTCGAGTTAAGTTTTGGACGCGTGCGAGAACACGAAAGGAACTTGAAGTTCTTGCAGACTTACAATATAACTTAAAGATAGAAGAAATTAATTAAGTCTTTAAAAGTTTTCATTAGAACAGAAGAGCAAAGCCTAAAGTCCAAAAGAGCTATGATACTCATACAAGTTTAAGCTGAATTTATAATGTCGGATTTTAATAAAGGTCGCAGTTGGTTTTCAAAACCCAACAAGAATTCACTATAAATGCATATTAGAGCTGGCCAAACTGGTTGTAAATGTCAGTGTAACTCACGGCAAGGGCATCTAGTAACAATTAAATTTACGAGCTAAAAACAGAAACAAGAAAAAACCAACATTGCTTGTAGTGGAAGACGATGCTAACTAAGGAATGCTCCGTTGGCCGGCGGCGGTGGCAAGAACAGCACAACTTGGACAGAGGAGATGGAAACGAAGACGGAGACGGAGACGACGACAGAGACAGAGACAGAGACGGATAGAGGACGGATTTATTGACGTAGCCAAACACATTAGCCAGTGGCTGGTGGCTGGTGGCTGCCGTCTTCATTCATTGTTGTCGTTGGCTGGGGCTCCGGCTGTTTGCCGGCGTGATGGCGCAAACAGTGTTGCAAATGACCCAATTATCCACTGACCCACTCAAAGCTCGTCCCAAAACGCTCGGACGACGATTGTGCCCCGCTTGTGAAAGAGGAGAGGAGGGGAGGGGAGGGGGGGTCGGGAGGGATGGGGTAACAGCAACTAAAGTCGCAGCGGTGTCGAAAGAGGCGACTTAGAATATAAGCGAACCTCTTTAGGGAGCCAGAGTTAGGGCCAGTCGCTGGCCGTTGCAAATGAATAGTGGAAGATGACGAGACCCTAAAAATAGAGAGACATTAATTAGCCAAATGACCGGCAATTTGTGCCGCAACAAACAAAAAGAAATTAATTTGCCAGCTACGGTTATTACAGCGGTTTTGGCCACAAATGTTTTCAATATGAGTGGTGGCCAGCCGGCTCTCTTAAATCTTCAATTAAAGTCACAGCGACACCACCGGGTGAAAGGTAGCGGCACATCCAAATCCACATCCAGCTAAACAGCAAAAACTGAAGCTGGTTCAAAGTTTGCGCAGCAATTCAAAGTTGGGTGGCTGTAAAAAAATAAAATAAATAAAAACCTAAAAAAAAAAATAAACACATCGCTGGCTAATGTTTGGAAAGTTCATTCTCAAGTGCAGCTACGGTCCCAAGATCACTGCTCCAGTCTAGAGTAGAATAGAGTATGTTTATTTGTCAGTCAGTCAGTCAGTCAGTGAGTCTTTCTGTCAGTCCGTGTGTCTGCCTCACTGTTTGTTTATTTGTTTATTTTCAAACAGCTCGAACGTGCCCCATTAGAAATCTAGCAGCTGACTTGAGCCACTGAAGGGAAACAAACTTTTTTCGGTGCTATCAAAACAGTAATCAGCTATTTTTTTGTTTGAACACTTTTCCAGACACAATCGTTTGTTCATTGTTGTTGTTTTCTTATTTCATTTTTCTTTCTTTTAGTTATATATTTCTTTATTGAGCTCTCGTTCACGCTTAATCAAAATAAATAATAATAATTGCCATACATTGTGAGCGAGCAACAAGAATAAATCTTAATAGACGTACTTAAATCTAAATGAAATGAGCATAATGTGAAGTGTATCGTTGTATAGATACATATATATATATATATAAATATATATATACATATATGCTAAGAAACATCTTCGTTTTGTTATTTGTGCAAAAACGACATAAAAATACAGATAAATACATTTATATATAGAGACAGATACATTAGTGCTTAGATTAGCGTAATTACAAATTACAAGTAGTGAAAATCTTAATTAAATAAATTAGTTGCGAGCAATAATTTTGTATGTGGGGAATGGTAACAAAAGCAGCCGGCTCCATACCGGGCCGGAACTCGACGTGATCGTGGAAAACTGTGACAATTTTCCAACATGCCAAGCAAAAGTGGCAGCAACACCAGCAACTGCAACAGCACAGCAGCAATTGCAGCAGTAATAGAAAACTCGAGACGAGCCAATGCAATTTCTGTGCGCGCTCGTGAGTTTCTTTTAATTAAAAAGGCGAAAACTTTTACTCGGCGCCAACTGCTAAATAAGCAGGTAACTAGGGCTACTGCTGCTGTTGTTGTAGTTGCTGCTTCTGCTGCTGGTGTTGCTTGTTGTCTTAGATTTTATGCTCAGTGATCAGGTAGGCATAATTGGAGGGAAGTGTCTTACAAATTAATGGCGCGGCTCCATTGATAAGCGTCGACCTTAACCTTCAGCAAACAGAGCTGACCCAAAAAGAAACCACCATAAAGAAACACTGTAGTCGAATCAATCAAATGAATCAAGTTTGAGCTGAATCAGTCAACTGAATAGATTTGAACATTAATCAATGTGATAGAAACTTATCGCTGTAGCTTCGACTGAGCATTTCGACTTCGTGTCTATAAGTACTAGCTAAAAATATTTAATGGATGTATTTGAATGATTCGAATAGTTTGAAAACACCAGCATGAATGATTGTTGCAAATTCATATAAAGTACCAAAAAATTAAAGTGAGCATTAAAGAGCAACTAATGTATTCAAATGATTAAAATATTAAAGTAATTACTTAACGAATAAACACATTCAAATTAAATTAAACAAAATTATTGTAAAATTGTTTTCAGCACAAGGTATTTCAAATGATTCACTCCCAACAAATTTTATTATATTTCCGGTCTAAAGAATCAATGTGTAAATTGAATGGTTGTAAATTCTTTGTAAAAAATATATCAAATGATTCAAACATGATTTAAATGATTGCAAATGTATGTGAAAATTTAAACCAAAAGCATTAGGAAGAATATGATTTAAATTTGATTAAACAGAATTGTTTGTAAAATAGTTCCTCACACTTCATATCAAAATTAAAATTAACTTCTATTTCTGGTCTGATAATTCAAATTTAAAAGGCCATTGAATGCATGTGTAAATTGAATAAGTGAAAATTCTTTGTAATGAACTAAAATCCAAGTGAATGGAGAACTGATAAAGTGAAACACTACCAATTAAATGATTGCAAATGTATTTAAATATTAAACATAAGAACCAAAATGAGAAAACCATTCAAATGAAATTAATAAAAAAAATTTCATAAAATCGTTATCATCACATCTCAGAAAAGAATTTAATTTCTGATCTCCTGATTCTAATTCAAAATAATGAAATGCAAATTATTGAGTACTATATTCCTAGATTCCGAGAGCCTATTTTATAATGATCGAGTGCAGTAACTTGCCGGAGATCATTGCGTGTCGTGAATTGTCTCAACAGCATTTAGCTAAATAGCTATAATAAAATATAAATAACTTAATTGCTAGAAAAGTTCACGTTGTAGCGCTTTAACAACTAATATTCTCACCTATACCCAAACGAAAAACTAAGAACCCAAATTTTTAATAACAATAAAACATTAATTAGGAACGTGGCTTCAATCAAAACGAATTATGACCAAATGAAAGACAAATAATTGAGGTCAAAAAAAAAAAAAAACTACACAAAGAAAGTGAATCGAAGTTGCCCCAAAATAAAAGTGTTTTTATAATAACAAAATATCGCGAGGTATAACTGATTTGACCTTTTTCTGTTTTCTTTCTTTTCTTTTTTTTTTGACAAATTATTTGTTTTTTTCGCCAAAATAAATAACTAATAAGGGAAATAACCCAATCAAAACTGAACTCAATATTATATTGTGGGTGTCAAAACTAAACTCAAAGCTTTTCAAAAACGTTATAAAAAACCAAGACAAAAACGTTAATGCACAAATAACAAAAAAATATAAACTATGAACATATGATATTGTTACCAACTATGCGTTATTGCTTATAATATATATGTGTGCATATATAGATATATATATATATATATATATATATATATATATATATATATATATAAATGGGCGTATGGAGTAACTGGTAAGTCTGTGCAGATGTTCAACTGTAGTATCGGGTGGTTCGCATCTACAATTTTAGCTGGTCCTCTTGTCTAGGCACGATTTCTATTACTTTTGCCTCTAACAAATCTGCATAAGAGTTTTCGTTGTCGTTGTTGTTGTTGCTGTTGTTGGTGCTGTTGTCTTTGTGTTTGTCTGGGCAAAAACAAAAGAGACTCTGCCGCAGTGAAAGTGAAAGTTGTAGCTTGCATATATATACACATACATATATATATATATATATATATATACAAGCTTTCCAGCGCAGACGTCTTTAGCCATATCGCCAATTGTTGTTGTTTGTTGCGCCCATTTAGTTTTTAATTTCAATGTCTCTGGTAGTTTTTTTCTTTTTTTTTATATGTATTTTTTCTTGTGTCTCTTTTAGCATTCAATTTCTCTGCTGCTGCTGCTGCTGACGACGGTTTGCTTAATTTTTTTGGGTTAACGGTATATTGGTTATGCAACGCATTGAAAACGCCTAAAGCCGCCCACGCAGCAAAAAACGTTGCCCACATGAAAAGCTGTCTTCGCAATTAGCTCGAATTTCCAAATGCGACACACATAAAAAAGAGCCACAGATACTTTCATGTGCGGGCTGCATGTGTGTGTGTGTTTTTTGCTTTTTTTTTTTTTTTTTTTGATTTGGTCGTTGATCGTTGTCATCGTCTTTGTAGTCGTCACGAGATGGTGGAAAATGCTGGCTTCAGTTTTCCAACCGTGCCCAGTATTAAAGATGTTGTGGGTGTGGCAGCTGTCATTTGAGTGTTGCTGTCGTTGTTGCTGCTGCGCCACACCAAGTCAAAGCAATTGTTATAAAATTGTTGCTTGTTGTTGCATTTGTTGTTGTTGTTGTTGTTGCAGTCAACGATATGAAAATCTGTCGCTGTGGGCGTCACTAAACCAGCATCCATCAGATTTAAATGTTCAAAGTTGAAGACAAGCGCCTCGGAGCAATAGCTGCCAGCGCTATCCAAGCCACTGTCGCTGCCGGATGCCGAGCAGCTGTTCTCACTGGCATCGTCACTGGCGGCACTGCATCCACCACCATCACCACCACCACCACCACCAAACAATCCCTGATGACTGGCCTGACTCGTGGGCAGCTCATTCACCGCGCATGTCTCGATGAGCTTGCGCGAAATCTCGTTGATGCTCTCGTTGAGCAGCGTCTCGGCGCTGGCTGCATTGCTGCTGCTGCTGCAGTTGGATGCAGCTGATGATGATGATGCGTTGGCCGCATGCTTGTTGAAGCAGCTGGCAAACAGATCGTTGGCAATATTCATGCCGCTTAGGATGTCGCCATACCCTGAATCATTCGAGTCGCTTAGATACAAAGTTGTTGCTGCTGCTGCTGTTGTTGCTGCTGGTGTTGTAGTTGTTTTTTGTGTTGCAGTTGCTGTTGTTGCCAGCGTTGTTGCTGTGTGGGCATGACTGCGCTGGGAGCCAATGACGCCCACAATTTCGGCGCGACTGCTGTCGCCGGTGATGGGCGCAAAGTGTTCCGTCGTCTCATCGAAATTGTTTGCGGCCGCCGAACAAATTGAGCTGGCACACGAGTTATCCGAGTGCGTGGACGATGACGAGGCGTTGCTCGAGCTGCCGCCAACCGATCCACCCGAGGCATCCGAGTGCGAGCGACGCAACGGATAATCCCACAGTGAACGCAACGGATCACAGTCGCGACAGAAGCAGACGCCATGACTGTGATCGTGGTGTTGCATGTGGCAGTTGCTGATGGGCAACAGTTGTTGTGCATAATTTGTGTGCTGCTGCTGCTGATGTTGGTGTTGCTGGTGTGTTTGCTGATGCTGTTGCAGTTTGGGTTGCATTTGTTCGGCATCCATTTTGAGCAGCACTCCATTGGCCGGCTTGCGATCCTTTTTGCGACGCTTGCGTGGCTTTATGATGCGCGGCAGACAACTATCCGCCACGCTTGTTGCCTGATCCTGGCCAGCAATGCTGTTGCTGCCGTTGCTGGTTTGTTGCTGCTGTTCTTGTGAGTTGAGCACAGCTGGTGCTGAGTTTTGATAGCGCAGCGTGCGCGATTTGTCCGTCATTTGAAAGTTGTTGTTGCTGTTGTGACGCATCGCCTGATAGCTGATGGCGGCATGTGCCGGCCAGGATTGCAGCGAGTGTTGCTGCTGCAACTGTTGCTGTTGCAGATGTGCATGATGCAGTTTGTTGTTCTGCAATAGCGGCTGTCCTTGCGCATGTGCCGCCAACTGAGACATGGAATGTCCCGCGGCAGCAGAAGAGGCGGAGACGGAGGAGGTGGGCCACAATTTGGCGGATTTGCGTAACAAACGGTGTCGCTGGGCGTGCGTCAAATGGCTGCTGGCATTCGAGATAAGCGGTATGCCGGCGCATTCATTAATCCGCTGCTGATTGACCAGCAGCTGCTGGGCTTGTGGCGGTGGCGTCGATGCTGCCGCAGCATGGTATAAACCATGATGCAGCTGGGCACGCAGATTGTAGCAAGCGGCTGCTGTTGGGGTAAGTGCTGCGGCTGCTGCTGTTGTCGGCGCAGGCACGGCGTTCCACAATGTGGCATGTTGGCGTTGCGTTGCTGGCTGCAGTGCATATCTAGCGAATTGGCAATTGACGTTCGCGTTTTCTGGTGCACGATAAACGGCCAAATGTGATCTCATAATCCTGCCTCCTCGTTCGAATCTCACGTGTTGCTTGTTGTCCTGGTCTGTCGTGCGTATCGCACATCACTTGGCCGCAATATATATTTTATTTATGATTTCAACACTTGATGCATTTCGAAAAACATTTCCACACACGCGACACACGTGAAATGAAAAGCGTCTAGCAAAAAGAGGCGAGCACTGCAGACACAAAAAATGAAACTGGCACACAACACAGCAGAAATGTTGCTCGCGCTCAGCAACTGTTGCTGTTGCTGTTGCAACTGCTGCTGCTGTTGCTGCTGTTCAAAATTACGAAACACTTTGCGCAGTCGCAGAACGAGACGAGGACGGCGACGGCGCGGGCAGCTTGCAAACGGGTTTTTGGTTCGTATGTTTTTCTGTGCCGACGACAACAGCTGTATAGAGTTTGAAGCGTCCGCTCGTGAGCCAAGCTGCTGGCAGACTGATCGCAGCAAATTCAATTTCATTCGGCGCACGAGCTTTGTCGGGCCGCCTAACAGTAAACACACTTTGACGCCGTTATGGCCTTAACTTTACACTCCCTCTCTCTCTCTCTCTCTCTCTGTCTGCTCTTCACGCACTCTCCCTCTCTTTCTTTGTGCCTCGCTCTTTAACTCTTTGCTGCGCGCTCTCTCTTCCGAAGCTCAGTCGTTGCTCTTTAAAGCTGTTAGCCGGCCGATGCAGCTTCGGGCCATTGCCCACAGCACAGCTTTGCATGTCGAGGTCAAATAGTGTTATTGTTTTTAATTTTGTTGTTGTTGTTTTGCTGCACATAATTTTGGGCGCTTGCATTCAATTATATTATAATTAATGTTGCTACTGGCATTAAAAATAAATCAAAAAATAAAAATTAAATACAATAACCATGAGTTTGAACTTTAATTGTCCAACTGGGGGCTGTCATAAACCGGTTGCATCCTGCCAGCAAGCGAAGATCGTAATTCAGTTCGAAAACGAATAAAAATGGAGTGTGTCGAATATTAAATGCACTTTGTCAACTCCACTTTTGCAGATCAAATTTGGAAATAATAAATATATTAAATATTTATTTTAATCACTCCTTTTGCAAAAAAATAGCTTGCTGATGCTGATCAAGAACATATATTTATAATTTGTAGCATTGTCTCCTTTAATACGTTAAACAACGATACCCCCAGCAAGGGTATACGATAAAGAAAGGAAAAAAGTCACATTTGTACAACAGAACTTTCTCTTTTCAGGCACCTTTTTTTTGCTTTCCTTTCGCTGCCCATACACATTTACACACACACACTCGCATACAAACAGGAGCCTCACACACACACAGATCAAAATCCGAATACATGAATAAAGAAGAGTGACAATTTGCGTTACTCACATGACAAGTTGTCCAGCATGTAGGTGAGCAGTTTCGGTGTTCCGTTAGGCTCATTGTAGATGTTCATAAACTCCTTTTGCAGAGGATTGCCCATCAGACCCAGTACAACCAGATGGAAGAGCTTGCCAATTTCGTAGGGCAGCACACGCAGAAAGTTGTTGTTCAACAGTAGTTCCCTGCAAATGGAAAACAGATATGTTAAGGCTTCACTTAACAGACTGCTGATTAATAGTCACCTCAGTTGTATGAGTTCGCCCAGCTCGGCGGGCAGGCTGCGCAGCTTGTTGGTGGACAAGTCGAGGGTGCGCAGGCTAACCAACATGCCCACATCCGCTGGTAGTCGCAACAGCTGATTGTCATTCAGATAGAGGGCGGTCAGATGCTCAAACTCCCACAACGATGGACTTATGTTACGCACACAGCCTGAAAGCAAGAGTACAAGAAATATTGAATTAACATGTTATTTTACGCACACAGCCAGAAACACACAGACACACCTGTTATCTCGAGACCCGTCCAGTTGGTCTTCTTGCCAGCAGCAATGTCCTCAGCTGTTAAGAATATCTGCTGCCTTCTGTTCGTGCTGTCGTATTTGTCTTTGTTACGAGACATCTTATAGTAGTTTCCTGTGTGGTACACCACATAATAATTAATTAAACAAAAACCAATTCAGTTGCGCATGCAAATTTCTGCTTGCGGGGTTTGGGGGGATATTGGGTTTAGCTGTTGTTTTTTTTTTTTTGATTTGTTTCTTAGCAAAGTTAGGCTCATGTTAGGAGACAAAACCTGGCTTATTAGGCAACGGCAAACGGCAACAAAAATAACGTACTTATTTGCACAGATATATTTTGTTTTAATTTAATTAAAAATTTTTTTTTTTTATGTATTTATGTAGGTGGGGGGAGGATGTTGAAACAAATCATAACCTTTCATAATAACCGCCTGATGATTTAAGCGTCTCTGCAAAATATTAACAAAGTGATAGAATTATTATTTGTATTAGTAAACAGAACAAATTAAAGAACGAATGAAAAAGAAAACAATCGCAAAAATCATACATTAAATATGCAAAGAAAAAAAATACGTTTTTTAAGGATTTTTGTAAGCGCGCGCAAAAACATATAAAAAATGTACACACAAACACACCACAAATACACCACTACGCATGTATGTGTGTGTGTGTATGTGTGTATATATACAAATGTATATATACATATATACTTATGTGTGTAGGCTTTTTTTTTGGGAAACAATTAAAATGTCTTTGGCAAAAGCACAGTTATAGGTGGAGGGTGGAGGGAGAAACGATTTAAATGGAAACTGTAGCAGGATTGAAAGCGTCGGCTTAGCGTCGAGTTTTGTTTTTACCACCAACTATTTATTGTGTATAAAATTGTATTTGTATTTGTCGTCTCGCTTTGAGCCGCGGCAGCTGTAAAAGCTGTAAAATGTGACCAGCACTCCTTTACCTATGTATTTACACGTACACATACACATGCACAAATATGTTATAGTTATGTTAATTCTTGATTGGGTTCTGTTAATTGGGTTTATTCGCATGCCGCCTTCTCTTTCAATTACTAAACAATTTTGAATGCCAAAGTGGTCGTTTTTGTTGTTGTTTTCGATTCGGTCTCTTTAGTGTTGTTAGTTTTTTGTTGTACAATTGTTGTGCTTGAGCGAAATGCGCGTAACCAAAAATTTTGTTCATAAGCGACGAAATTGCTTATTCTCTCTCCCTCTTTTTGGGTCGCTTTTTCTTTTTTGCGCGTTTGCCTTCCATTTATTTATTGTGCGATTCGTTTTCATAGTCGCTTCTTGTTTTTGTATACATGTTGGCTTGGAGTTGCCACTTATTGTCCAAAGAATATGTGTATATTGGAAATGCAGAGAAATTGGATATAATGAACTTTAAATTTAATTTAATTGTTCGAATTATTTTGATTGATATTTCAAATATTGTTTATTATTATTAGCCTCCATTTGTTTTAAGCGAGCAACTAACTAACTACAACAAAGTGGTTTAACCAAAACAAAACAAGCACGCAGCAACACTAAACATATACACACACACACGCACACAGAGTTACGGTCTGGAACGAAAGATGCTTATTACAAACAAAAACACACAATGAAATTTCGTACTATTTGCTTTGCCAGCCACTTTTGAAAGATATTTATTGGGAATTTGATTTAATGCTGTGTGCTGTTAAATATTTCGCGTTTTATTCGTGGCTTCGCTGGTATAAACTTTTCTTTTTTCGCATATCTCTTGCACACGCTCTTCTTCGGTACGATGTGACCAGCTCGTGTATGCAAAAAAGCTGTTATTCTAGTATTTTCAAAACCGATGCGATCGTGCACTGCTTTGTGGTCACACCTTTTGAAACTGATCATATTTCATAAGAAATGGTCACCTTATTTTGCTTTTTGATACGTTTTTTTTGTTCAATTATTTGAATAAATTTAAATTATTATTGTTATTAAAGTATTATCTGTTTATAAATATTTATGGACGAAATAATTTTATCAATGCATATTAAATCTCTTACCTGATTATTGAGAATTAATTAGGAATTTAATTTAATTATTTTTTATTTAATTAGAATTATGAATTATTTTATAATAATTATATAAAATTATGAAAAAAATATAGGTATTTATATAGAGAAGACTTTTTATTAGCAGAAAAATCGAGTTGAATTGAATTCATTTACTGCCTACCGCTGTAAATCAAATTGGAAGAAAAAGAAAACTGATCGTTGTCATCAGTTGGCATTTGAAGTTGTTTCGAGTTTTCGCTTTTTTTTGGCTTCAATTGGGACGACAGCTGTGCAATCATTTGCTTAGCCTAAATGCAGGTGTAAATGGAACATTATCGAAACGTGGATGTGGTTTATATTATTCAGTAGATAGGTTTACAGGCTCAATGAATCTTGTCGTGGCTTGAATAAAATTTCGAATTATGAATTTAAAGGCAATTTTCGCGATTTTAATAGTATTTATCGGATGCTGTTGCAATGCTGTCAGTTTGGAGCTAATCGTACGGCTTGATCCCGGTGCCGGAAATTTGGTTACGTTTCTGCATTTTCTAATGATTGCCGTAATCGGATCCATCACCTCAAGGTGCTTTACGGTTGGTCGCAAGATTGCTCTGAGGGATTATGCGCTGCTGGTGCTGCTCTTCTTTGGCTCGAATGTGTGCAACAATTATGCCTTTAATTTTAATATAGCGATGCCGTTGCACATGATCTTCCGCAGCGGCACGCTGATGGCCAACATGATCATGGGCATTTTTCTGCAAAAGAAACGCTATTGTCTACGCCAGTACAGTGGCGTACTGTTCATCACAATAGGAATTGTGCTCTGCACTTTGGTGTCCAGTGCCAATATCAGGAATAGAACACATGCCACGCTCAAAGTGAATGATGCCACTGGCAGTGCCACATCGGATCTGTTCTGGTGGAGCGTGGGAATCACGTTGTTGACCACCGCACTGCTGGTCAGCGCCTACATGAGCATCTACCAGGAGCTACTCTACAAGCGCTACGGCAAACATCCGAATGAGGCTTTGTTTTATACGCATTTGTTGCCGCTGCCCGGTTTCATTTTTATGGCTGGCAACATTGTGCAACACTGGCAAATTGCTGTCAGCTCGCCGAAAGTTGCCATAACAATTGGTTCGACGGATAGCTGGTCAATTCCCGTGATGATTCTCTATCTAATCGGCAATGGAATTGCACAATATATTTGTATTAGTGCCGTTTATGTGCTGACCACAGAATGCACCTCGCTTACCGTCACCATGGTCGTCACGCTGCGCAAGTTCCTCTCGCTGATCTTCTCCGTGCTCTATTTCCGGAATCCCTTCACGATAAGCCATTGGATTGGCACCGCTCTGGTCTTCTTTGGCACCATACTCTTTGCCAACGTGTTCATCCAGCTGCGAGATGCGTTTCGGGAACGCGTGCTGCGGGGACGCGGGCATACCCTATTGCTCGCAGTTATAGGGTAGATTTAGTTTATATGTTTATAGCATATTTTGATAGTCACAAATATTAATTACGTTAATGCCGATTTTAAATTGTAGTAGATGTCAAAATTTTAATTTCACATTGTGTTTATTTGTGTTTAAATACTTGGAAATATATTTTAGTAATTATTAAATGGTTTTTCTTTAGCATGATTTTGCTATAATTTCTCGTTTTATCCGTTATGTTCGTGCCATAATTATAATTGCACTTTATTTTGTGCTTTTTATAAACACATTTTAAAATATATGTTTTTGTAATTATGAAATGGATTTTTATTTATACATAATTACAAAACTAGCTGATTTTTTAATATGATTTTGCTATAAATGCACTTTTTATCCGTTGATCATGCCATAAATTGTCATGTTTCTGTTTGCTGCCTTTGCATATGTTTGTCGTGGATTTGGTATTTTGTTGTGTTCCCTAATATTTTTGTGTGCAGCGTACGGTCACATTGCAGACAACAAAAACAAAGAGCAAAGAAATTCCAACATATTCAATTCAACTAGCAATAATTTTGAAATGTCGCGAATTTTATCAGCTTCATTCATAAAATATCAAAGCGCCGAGGAGGCCGAGATCTTGAGTGTAGGTGATAATATGGATGAGCGCGGCAAAGAATTGGTGCGGCAATTATATGCGCCACTCGTAAGTAAAAATAACTTCAATTTGCTCCATAATCTCTGCCAATTGTGTTGGTTTGCAGAAAGTAACCACAGAGGATTTGAGCCGTGAATACACTTCGTCCGAGGTGAAACAGCTGTGCCTTCGCACAAAAGTCCGGGTGAACATGACGCTTTTCAATTGCGTGTGGGAGGCCAAACGGCGGCTGGAGAAGAAGGGCCGCCTGGCCAATCGTTCTGAGCGCTTTGTGAACGCGATGCTGGTGAAGGCGGTAACCAAACAAATGGTTATACCCTATTCGTCAGAAGAGATTAGCAAATGCAATCATATTCGCGAGTGCCAGCTGAAGAAGGTCAACAATTGCCGGCTTAATCGCTGGAGCAATGAATCCTCACAGAGCTCGGTGCTGGAGCGCACTCAATCAAATCAGTCGTCTTTGTTGCCGCCGGCACAGATGGCGAATGAATCCTCAGATATACCCTTGAATCTCGTAGTTACCATCAATTCTCAAGCCTTACTGACTCAACCGGTTATGTGGGTCAACGGAGAGACACCAGAGAGCCCAGCTAAATCAAAGGATATGGCCGAAGCTGTCGATGTATCCATAGAATCCACACCAGACATGGCCTGGGCCGAGGCAGCTGCCCAAGTCAACACAGAGTCGATGACCTTTGAGTCACGTGATCTTGAGCTGAACACACAGCAAACGGAGAGCCAGCCAGTTGCCCTAAGCAACGAGGATTATGAGCTCTTCGGCACCCAAGTGCCGGCCACATCCACACAGACCCCCACACAGTCCACCGAACCGTTCCTTTAAATTCGAATTGACTCATATTATAAATATAATTTTGTTTTATGACCGAAATTCATTACAACATGCTCTCGAATAAATATATATTTATTTTTATAACATACTATTTTAGATTTTATTGTGCGTTTTGAGTATAAAAACTGTTCTTAAAACGTCGCATTTACATATATATATATATATATGTTTATTTGTTTACTGCTACTATCCTAGTTAAAATCGCGTAATATGTGTTTTTGTTTTTTACTTTACCAAACTGTTTGTAGTAAAACCTTATTTTAGTTAAATGTACATACAAAATTTGTTATTATTATATTCCTGCAGTGCATTTTTTGAATTTTCAACTGGGCTGGGATAAATGTATTTGAAAATAATAATAAAAATACTTTGCGAATTTTAAAAAAACACTGCTTGGAAACCATCTGATCTGAGTTGAATAATATAATCTTATATTTCTTTTAAAAAAAAATACAATATCTCAGAATATTTGACATGCGTGTTAGTGGTGGGAATAAAATTGAAAGTTTAGCAAAATCAAATTTGATATTTGGATTAGAGTTTGGCGCTGCAAGGATATTTGTGTAATCTTCGACTAGCCGAAGGATAACTTATGAATTATGTTAACTATTTACACAGATTTACAATTAGCACATTACATACATACAGAAGAAAACTAAGAAGTAATTAGTCATGCTCGGGGAGGGGGCAGGGCAGATGGTGGGAGATAATCCACTGTACAGGTTGCTATGGCTGTGGCTATGGGAAGTGATCAAAGATGAACTGTTCCATGAACAGTGTCTCCGAATGCTAGTTGGACGAGTTTTCGCCCATCTCACTCACAGAGATGGTCATTTTCTGCTCATCGCCACTGTCCTCGTCATCGTCCTCCTCGTCATCCTCCTCGGTCATCTCCTCATCATCCTCCTCGGTCAGTTCCTCATCCTCCATGTCATCGTCCTCGCCAAAACTATCTGTGGATGCACCAACAGCAGCATCATCATTACTCGCACAGAGCGTCGGCAGCTGAACGATTGTGGCGCCACCAGGCGCTGCAGTGACAGTTGAGCCAGCAACTGTTGCCGCCACGCTGGACGCGACACTGCCATTGTCAAGTGCACCAGTGCTCGATGGCAGCTCAATGGTGACAATTCCGCTCATCGTATTAATACTTTTCGGGGCATTCATCTTCTGCTCCTGCTTGATATTCAGCTCGATGAGCTCCACTCCGGAGCGCGTCTTAAAGTGCGTCTTGATGTGCTTGGAGAGATGATCGCTTCGCATGAATTTCTTGTTGCATTCGCGACACTGAAACCGTTTCTCGCCCGTATGGGTGCGTCGATGCCGCTGCAGCTCATCAGATCGGGTGAAACGTTTGCCACAAAACACCCAGGAGCACACAAACGGACGTTCGCCCGTATGCCAGCGGAGATGGGCGCGTAGATGTGACGTCTTGCCGTAGACCTTGTTGCAGCCGGGTATGTGACAGATGTGCTGACGCTTGCGATCCGAATGCTTCTCCCCGTCCGTGCAATTGGGGCACGTGCATGCGACACGCTTCAACCTCGGTTTTATCTCCGCCGGCACCTCGCCATCGACCACCTGGCTTGGCTGAGCAGCAACTGTTGCTGCTGCTGCGGCTGCTGCTGCTGCTGCCATCGATTGCTTGAGCTGCTTGGGACGCGCTGATGTTGTTGTTGTCGTTGTTGTTGTTACCACCTGTTGACCACCAGCTGTGCTCATCGTTAGCTGTGTGGCATTGTTGCTCAATCCGACCAGACTCGGTTTGGCCGTGCTACGTGCTTGTGCGATGGCTGGTGTTGCCTGTGGCGGTAAGGCGGTTATCTGTATGGAGGATGGTATCGTTACACTGGGCAGTTCAGCAATCAATTGCTGCTGCTGCTGCTGTTGCGGCGACTGTGGCATTATGAACTTAATCAGTTGCTGCTGCTGCTGGGATTGCTGGTGCTGCTGCGGTTGCTGCTGCTGCTGTTGCACTGTTGTCGGCGCTGCAGTTGTCACATCTGGTGGCTCCTGCTTAATATTCGTGATTAGCTGCGTGGGACTCTGTGGCTCCTGCTTGGGCAGCATGGTTATAGCAGCCGGTGCAGCTGCATTGCTATTCGAGTTCTGTGGCGCTGCAGCATTACTTGTGGCTTGCATCGTGGGCATTGGGAGTTGGGTGAGCACCTGCTGGAAATTGGCTGCCATGCTGGCGGGCAATTGACTGGCTTGGATGATCTGCACCTGACCCAGACCGGGTATGTTTTGGATGGGCAGCGCTTGCAGATTGCTCGTTTGCAGCGATTGCATTGCAGCAGCAGCAGCAGCAGCAGCCGCATTTTGACTCGCCCGAAATTGTTGCAACTGTTGCAGCTGCTGTGCCGGAATCACCGTCAACTGTTGTCCCTGTGCATTCGTTATCGTTATGGGCTGATTCGTTGGCAGTTGTCCGCCAGCCTCGTTGATTGCATTGAAGAGCTGCTGCTGTTGTTGCTGCTGTTGTTGTTGCTGCTGCTGTTGCACAGCTGCTGCTGCAGCTGCCGCCTGTTGCTGCTGTTGTTGTGTCTGCTGTTGTTGCAGTTGTTGTTGTTGAACCTGTTGTTGTTGCTGCTGCTGCTGTTGTTGTTGGACTTGCTGCTGCTGCTGTAACTGAGCCTGTGGCTGCACAAACTGCTGCTGTTGCTGAGGATTCTGTATGTGAATTATATTCGCATTTGGCGGCAGCTGTGAGTAATTGAGCGCATTCAATGGAGCCAGCTGTACCTGTTAATACAAATAGAAAGTGATATCATTTAAAACACCTTTCTATATTTTTCCCGTTATCTATTAGACAGATTAACAGAACAGAAATAACGACTCAACTTCCCGAAATGTGTGTGCAAATTTGGCTTCAAAGTTATTTTGATTTGATTGAATTGATAAGTAGATAAATTGTCATCCCATCGGTTCCCAACTATATACAAATATTAATCTAGATGTTGCTATAGATAAATGCATATCCGATCTTCTGATGTATAATATTCTTGATAAGCACCAACAACTGAGTCGAACTAGTAATTTCCGTCTGAATAAGCTTGTCGATCTGTGAAACTATAAAAGCTGGGAACTTTAATTTGGAATATAAGTTCTCGATTGATATTCTCCCAATACAAGAGACCCTCACATCTTATTCACACAAACATATTTTTCCGAGCCGAGCTCGCTCGACTAGAACTAGTGCAACTAAATTAGAGGGTACAAGATCCTTGGCACTCTAGAGCTATGTTAAGATCTTACACAATATTTGTATTCAATTATCATTCTATAGCAAGTTGTACCTGTTGGATTTGCCCGTTGGGCGTAACAATCTGAGCGATTTGGGCAAACTGTGGGATGATCTGCATCTGAGCCGCTGCCTGCTGCATCGAGGCGGGCAAAGCCTGGATGGACTGCGTTAGGTTGGACAGCGTTGGCTGCTGTGCTGCAGGCGTTCCAGTGGCGGCAGCAGCCGCCTGCACGGGCACATGGACCGTCTGGTAGATGGTCTGTCCATTGGCCGTTTGCACGGGGATCTGCACGGCGACCGTCTGCTGGAGCGTTGGTGCCGCCGGCGCCTGCTGCGGGAACTGCAGCAACTGTGGCGCCGTCCCAGGCGCAGCAGTGCGCAACTGGATATTCTGCAGCGTTTGTCCATTCTCCAGCTTGATGGTGGTGGGCCCAGCTCCGCCCAGCAGATTGGTAATGTTACCAAGCAGTCCATTGGCGGCGGCCACAGAGGCGGGTATTTGGATATTAGTGCCGGGAATGGTTATCGTTTGCGTTGCTGCTCCAGCCTGCTGCTGTTGCTGGCTAAGTTGTTGTTGCTGTTGCTGCTGAGCAAGGGTTGGAGTTACTGCCTGATGGGGCTGTTGCTGCTGCTGCTGTTGTTGTTGGGGTTGTGGCTGTGGCTGCTGCTGCTGCACAATGTTGGCCAATGGGATTTGTATATTGGTGCCGGGTATGGTGAATAACTGAGTCTGGGCCGGCTCAGGAGGCTGCGGAGCACGCACTATTTGCCCATTAGGCGTTATGAACGCCTGCTGGCCATTGATATTGACGGCCTGAGCCGTCGCCAGCTGGGCATTCAGATTGGGTATAAAGATCGCCTCCTGCCCATCAATGTTGACCGTTTGCATGCCCATCGGTTGCACGATTTGAAACATATTTTGTTGCATTTGAGCGCCTGCTGCGGCCTGTTGCAGGAATTGCGGTGGCATCTGATGTATGTTTATGATCTGCTGCATTTGGGGTGCGGGCGAAACATTTGACGCACTGCCTCCGACAACGCCAACGCTATTTGACCCCTTGACGGGGGCGGCGGGTGTGGCAGTGGCAGTGGCCACTTGGCCATTGTTATTGTTAGTAACAGCGTTGGCGTTGGCATTCTTATACTGCAGCATTTTATTCGGCTTGCTGCCCCTTTTGGCGGCACTTTGTTCAGTTCTACGTTTCGCGGCACTTCAACTGAGTTTCGCACAGGTGCACAGAGTATTTAACATGAATATTTTTTCCATTTTTTTTTCTCACTCAAGGGACGATTTTTCAGACGACAGATTATTAGTTGCTAAACACTTAGAAGACACACATACACAAACACAGAAACGGTGTGGTACATTATTTACATTGCATTTGGGGGGTTTTTAGTTTAATTGGGCAGTAATTATACAACAATTAATATTAATTTCTTGATTTTTAGTTTTTGTTTTGACAAACATAAACGCGGAAGAGAGATGAGCAGAAAATCTTGTGGCTGTTATCGATAGTATCAACAGCTGTTATCGATTGTACTAATTATACGAATTAATTTACTACGTTGGTACATTTTAATTACAAGCATGCTTCGATCAATTTGCCTACCAATATTTTTATTAATATATCCCTAACACAAATTTCTGATTGAGTAATTATACTTAAACTTAAGGCGAGTATATTCAGCATAGCAATGCCATATACTAAGTTTTGCAATAATTACGTGATATTATTTGCATTGCGGATTGCAATTTGTATTTTCATTTCATTTTAATTTCTTTATTATATCATATTCTTCTGCAGGTACATTTATGACGATAGCTATGCTCAAATATATCGTCGTGTCTCTGCATGTGTCCCACCCCTAGATACCACCTATAAAAAACATATCGATTATATTTGCGTCCCTGTTGTTTCCATCTATCAAAAAACATATCGATAAATGGTAAAAAGTGTCGATATGGGCTAAAAGGAAAGCCAAATCTAAAGTTTACTTTGTTAATTGAGAGTAGAAGCCGCCGATTTTGACGTATGCACAACATGGAGGTGGATCAGCCAACACTGGCCGATGTGGTGTTCGTAATCGAAAATAGCGCCATCAATGGCGCCTACCTAAACGAGCTGAAAACCAATTACATTCTGCCCACCTTGGAGCACTTCACCCAGGGCTCGATTGATGAGCGAGAATTCCTAATTGCCGAGCGCTATTCGACGCTTTACGGCATTGTCACATACCGCACAGCATCGAATCTGCTGGAGCCAGTCTGTTCCACATACGGCCCCTTTGTGCAGCCCCAGAAAGTGATCGAGACGATCGAACGTCTGCCGCTGGTCGGAGGCGGCATGGAATCGCATGCCCACATGTCCGAGGGCTTTGCCGCTGCCCATGGTTGCTTCGATGAGATGAATAAGCAACGCTACATGCTGGAACAATCGAATTTGCAGCGCCACTGCATCCTCATCTGCAACAGTCCACCGTATCAGATGTCCGTCAACGAGTCATGGAAATACAAAGGCAAATCCTGTGAACAACTCGCCGCCCTCTTCAATGAGCGCAAAATCAATCTATCCATCATTGCGCCACGCAAAATGCCAGTGCTCTTCAAGCTCTACATGAAGGCAGATGGCGATCAGCCGATCACGACCAAAAACTATGCCAAGAACATTCGGCATCTGGTGCTGCTCAAGGGATACAGTTTGAAGGAGCGTGCCCCAAGTCCAAATAGCAATGGACCAGCACTGCCCCAGCATGCAATGGGCGCACCCCAAGCCCAGGCAACAGCAGTCAACAATAATCCGGGCGGACAGCAGGCGCAGCCAATGGAAACGACGCCAGCACAGCAACAGCAACCAGTTGGACCACAACAACAGCAGCAGCAGCAGCAACAGCAGGTCATGAATATGAATGCTATACAACAGCAGCAACAACAACAGCAGCAGCCCCAACCACAACCGAATGCTGCTGCACAGGCTGGCCTTCTAAATGCACAGCAACAGCAGCAACTGTTGCAACAGCAGCAGCAACAACAACAGCAACAGCAGCAACAAAATCAATTTGTGCCCAATACTATGCAAAATACAAACTTTCAGCAGAATGTGGTGCCCGGTCAGAATCGCTGGATGTATCCGAATCAGCCGGGTGTGCGTCCGGCATTCATGCAAAACGCTGGCAATAATATGCCACTGCAACAGAATCAGAATCCCAATTCGGCGCTAATATCGCGCATCAATGCGCCGCCCAATCAAACGGTCAACGCCCTGCAGCAGCAACAATTGCAGCAACAACAGCAGCAGCAACAGCAGCGATTGCAAATGTTGAACCATCAGCAATTCAATCAGTTGCAACAGCAGCTTGCACAGCAACAGCAGCAGCAACAACAACAGCAGCAACAACAGCATCCACAGCAGCAGCAGCAAGTTAATCCCAATGCCAATACCAATATGATGCCAACTGTTTCCAATGCTGCCAATGTGCCCAGCTTGCAGCAAGCGTCCGCACCGCAGCAGCAGCAACAGCAACCCAACCAACAGCAACAACTGCAACAGCAGCAACAACAGCAGCCACAGGAGCAGGCATCGTTGCGTGAGAAGATATGGACGGGCGTGCTCGAATGGGCTGAGAAGGCGAAGAATGATCAGCAGAAAATACCGCATTCGCTGCAATGCACGGTCTGCACCAACATCAAGGATGGCGAGCCTGAAATCAAGGCTGACAATTGGCCGCCAAAGTTGCTGATGCAATTGATGCCCAAACATTTGGTGGGCAACATTGGTGGTCAGTTTTTGAAGGACTCGAAAATGGTTGTGTTCCGGCCGACGCCCGGCGAGGCACTTGATTCGCTAGCCAAAATGATGACCAATGGTTTCGCTGGCTGCGTTCACTTCTCGGCGCTACCCAACACGCCTACCTGTGACATCAAGGTGCTCATCCTGCTCTACACGCCCGATCGGAATGCCTTCCTCGGTTTCATACCCAACAATCAGTCGATGTTTGTGGAGCGTTTACGCAAAGTGATCCAACAGAAGCAGTCACACGGTAACATGCAACAGCAACAGCAGCAGCAACAACAGCAGCAGCAACAGCAAATGCCACCGCAGCAGCAAATGCAACAAATGATGCAACAAGGAAAAACACCTATGGAATTGCAACAGCAGCAGCAACAGCAACAAATGCAGCAGGATAATTCGCAACAGCAGCAGCCGCATTATAATCAATATGCTCAGCTCAATATGCAAATGGGCGGCGGTCCTGGCGGCAATGGAGCCGGTGGCATGCCCATGCAACCACAAATGCAAATGAATATGATGCAGCAGCAGCAGCAACAACAACAACAACAACGCATGCCACTTGGCGTGCCCGTCGCGAATCCCAATTTGCAGCAGCAATTGCAACAGCAGCAGCAACAACAGGTGCCACAGCAGCAGCAGCAACAACAGCAGCGCATGGTGCGTCCCATGCTGGGCAACAATAATCCCGGCCTGCGTCAACTGTTGCAGCATCAGGCGCCGGGCAATCAGTTCCGCCCACAAATGGGCGGCCAACCAAATCAAATGGGCGCCGGCGGCCCAATGGTTGGCAATCGCAATTTCGATGATGGCGGCTATGAGTTTATGTAAAAGTTTTTAATATGTTATCGATAGATATATAGATATATGTATATGTATATTCGGTAAAAAGATTTGTGTGTCCTTCAATTGTTTAGTTCTTTGTCTCGGTTTACTTGTAATCACTTATAAAATTTACAATTTACGCCCAAATTCATCCATTTCACATTCACAATACTTAATATAAGCGAAATGATTTAATTCAATTTCAATGGTTTTAACTGCTTCTACAATTTAGTTTTATGTAGTTTTATTAGAGAAAATATATTATATCTAATTCAAAAATATGTCTTGACGAAATGAAACTTTAAAGAAATATTAAAGAGTGTAATATTCTGAAATGTAGCCGTATGCTGAGCTTTAGAGTTTTATCTGAAATCATTACAGGAAATATATATGATTTCTAATTCAAACATTAATCTGGACGAATCACACTTTAGAGAAAATTCAATAATATTTAAGAAGGTACGATTATCACTCGATTTATTATTAAAAAAAAAGAAACAGTAATTGAGTGTATTTAATATAAATGATTTTATTTTACGTACAAGTAGATTACAAATAGAACTGTTATAGTTTTGACAAAGCTTCTCTTTCTAAAGTGCACAATTTGGATTCTTCTAAATGGATGAGGAATACTCGGCTGGGAATTTGAATCTATGGATTCCGAGTGCTTGCACTGTTGGCAGTAGACCAGCGTTGGGTATAATATTCCACGACAATATGAGCGTTACGTTCTTGTTATCCTTGAGGCCATTGCCATCATCCCAGAAGTAGTATTTGGTGTTCATGTTCTTAAAATCAAGCACTGCGTTTTGGCCACGCAAGATGATTTTGTCCCACAATACAACTTGATTCAATTGATTCGATGTCGTCTCATACTCAGCGGTTAGAAAGAGAAACAGCTGCTTCACATTCCAGTTGAATACATCCGTCAGATTCGTCTCCAGATCAAAGGTGAGGAAGCCGAGATCGTGTTTCTCTCGCGATGCTCCGTAATCGGGAACGTTTTTCACCAGGACGCGAACGGTGTTGATTTTCGCATCTGTTCTGTAATTTTGAAAAACGGTCGATGCGAAGCAGCAGAAGGTTAAGCAGGCCAGCACGCTTAGCGAATATGCAACAGTTGCATTTCCTCGAGTTAACACAGTATGCATTTCAATTCTTGTGTGGCAAGTTTACCGCAGATAAAACTGGACACGTACCTATGTTTGTTGCAATTGAACGAAAAAATGCCTGATCTCTGGGCACCCCAAAAGCCGATAACTTCGCTCAACTGTTAATAACAGCGCTTATTAATTTGCATCTGCACAAACAGCCGGTGTTGTATTGTGTTTCAGTTTGTGAAATATTATTGAATTATTATAAATAGCCCGGGCCGATAATTTGAAAACGTATGCTGAAATGTATCCCTAATTTGGGATACTCAGCTTGAAATTTAATTTAACAGCTGCTAACTTGTTCCAAATGAAAACGGTGCTATTAAAGAACAGCTGCTGCATCACACGACTTATCGATTATTTGGCAACTCATCAGAACGATAATGGAACAGGAACTTTTGATCCTGTAAATTACTCAATCGCTAAAAAGCCAAATGTACAAAAAACGAGTGTGCATGTAAATTAAGCAATTAAGTAATTTGAGTATGCTGCCCCATGGTATAAGCAGTTTGAGATTTTACAAATAGATACGTCGAAGGATGACCTATCGCCGGCACTGACAATTTATTTTCAATTAGTTCACTATTTCTTCGATAACAACAATACGTTTTTGATATACCTGAGCAAAGTATTTACAAATAAATAGGAACAACTTAATTAGTCATTAAAATTATTGTACTGCTAATAAAGAAAAAATAGTACTGCTAGTGCTAGGGCTTCGGAAAAAACAAAATAATGCTTGATATACATAATGTTCGATCATTTATTTATTTGGCAATTTTTGTTCTGGTATTTTTTATTTTCGATTTTAGCTGTTTGGATTATTTATATGTGAACAGTTTTTCTTTAATAATACATATATTTACGAAACAAAATACCATAATTTTTTTAAAAGCGAGTTAGCTGAAAAAGTCATAAATTATAATCATTAATGAGGATAATCGGGATAAAATAAAATTCATTCGGCAGTTCAATAGTCATATCCTTCAGATACGGCAAACATATTTCATAACGTAACGTTATTTGCGTAACGTAGTGGCATCTACTGGTTCATTTTTTCGTTGCGTTCTAGTTCAATTCAATATCCGGGAATAATATGGCGATCCGAAACTCTAAATGACAGACAGTGATTTTTAAAGCTGCTGAAAAATTAATTTATTTGCCAAAAAGTTGCAACGGTAATACGCGTAACTATCGTTAAGAAATTGCATAACATGTTCCCTATACGCTAAGCATGTTTTTATGCCATAAGGCAGCCATTAAGTGTTGAAAAATTGCATCGGAATAAAAGCGAAGAAAAATTTTCCCTTAGTTGCTTAATTTGCCTTCGTCGTCGTCCGCCTGCTTTTCGACTCGACTTTGGCGTGCGTGTGATTGTGGTTTCGCCAGTCAAAGAGACTCAGTATCGTCCTCTCTCTTGCGCATACACAATGGCGTGCCAGCGACGGACTGACTGCCTAGTTGTTATCTCGCTTTGACGCGATGTTCGTTCGGTTTCATTCGCTGTATGTAAAATGTGTAAAGTGATTTTTGCCTGCGCTCGCGTTTTGGGGCGAAGTGGAAAATGCTTGAAAATGTTTTATAAATAAAATGCTATAATTGAATATCTACGCAAATAATTAAACGTCGAAAATGCATAATGCATCTGGCAATTGTATTGTGTACCTGCTGCGATTATATAAAGCATAGAAAGCACGCTGTGTCAGCGTCTAAATTACCAATTGCGCATCGATTGGCCATGCATAAGCCCAAAATTCGTAATAATATTAAAACGAATTGTTTCCCCCTCCCCACCATTATTATCTGTGTGCATTTTGTTTCTCATTTATTTTTTTTGCTGTAAAGTTAATACGAAAAACGTGAATTAAGAAAACGGAAAATTAAAACGAGTATATGTATATGTATGTACGTATATACTTACATACATACATATGTACAACGGCGAACGAATGAGTGTGCAATGCTGAAGAAGTGAAAGAATGCGCAGCGTTGCCATACGGTTACGATCTGCCCGAGTGTATGCAAGTGTGTGTAGTGTGCCCATGTGTGTGTGTGTGTATTGTGTGTCTTATATATGTGCATTCTCACAAATGTATCTAGCTCAATTCCTTACGTTAAAATCGATAAAAACGCAGCACGCTTTGTGTATGAAAAATAATTAAATGAAATCCGAGAAATACACGCAAAGTGTGCTGTGGCGTTTTTGTCAATGGGCAATTGAAAAAATTAATTTAAAAACACCCAAAATACATTAAATTCGTTTAACTAATTTAATTGTTTAATGTTTTTGTTTTAAAATTCGCATTTGCGCACAGAAAGCACGCGTGAATTGATTTAAAAGGAAGCCCGATCGAGACTAAAATGAATAATGATGCGAGAAATCATGATGGCGATGACTTGAACTTGAATTTAAACAACGTGCGCTCTGCGTATTTGAACAAAAAAACAAAGACACCAACAGCAACAATAACAACAGCAGCTGCAACAACACCTACAACAACAGAAACCCAAATCAAAGCAAATCGCGCAGCAACACAGCAAGCAACAACAGCTGTACAAAGACTTTTAGCAGTTAAGCACAACAACAGTAACAACAACAACGTTGTTCGTCAGGTGAATTATACCGGTCCGCGTCTCGCTGCCGCCCGACACTCGATAGCAGCGGCGCTCATTGCGAACAATATTAAAAACACCAACAACAACAGCAGCAGTAACAGCAGCAAGAAGAAGCATGAACAACTGACAACAACAGCAGCAACAACAACAACAGCAGCTGCAGCTGAACTGAGCCAATTGAGAAAGAAGAGCAGCAGCATTAACAGCAACAATAACAGCAGCAGCAATAACAGTGTCAGTTTAAAAGTTAACAGCAACAACAACAACAGCGCGTTAGCCACTGCCAATACTAACACCAACAACAACAACTCCAAAATGTCTAAAACGTCTGCCAGCAGCAACAACAACAAAACAAACGCGCAAAGCGAAGCAACTGCCGCTGCTGCTGCATTCGTTACAGCTGGCACAACAACAGCAATAGCAGCAGCAACCACAGCCACGCCCATGCCCGCCACAGCAACACCAACAGCAGCAGCAGCAACATCAACTGCAACTGAAACAACAACAGCAACAACAACAGCTGCTGCAACTGCCGGCGCTGCGGCTAAATTTCGTGCCGCTGTTGCATCAGCGCCTCAGGCGAGCAGCAGCTCGAAGAAGAAGCGTGCAGCATATGCGGCGCTCAAGCGGCAGGTAGCCATGAAACAGCAGCAACAACAACAGCAGCATCAAACAACTGCCACGCCCGTAACGGAAGTGGGAGCAGCAGCAGCAGTAGCCGGAGTGGCATCCACTAGCAACAAGGACTCGGCGCATTTGAAATTCGCCGCAACAACATTGTTGATGGGCGCCGCTGCCTCTGCGACAGATGGCAACGCTGGTAATGCTGCTGCTATTATCGCTCCACCCCCCCAATCGACAACGACGAGCAGCGGAAGCAGCAACAACAGCAGCGGAAGCAGTGCAGCGACAGCTGTTGCTGTGCTCAAGCAGAAGCTGAAGAACGTTGGCGCCATTTCGAATGCGGCGGCCGTTGCTGCGGCGACTGCTGCCAACAACAATCGATCGGCGGCGGCAGCGGCAGCCGCATTGTCGTCATCGGCGTCAACGTCGACAACATCGTCATCGTCATCGAACTCCTCACCGCTATCGTCATCGGGCATTGTGAACGCGATTTCGTCGGCGTTGCAGAACATCATTACAAGGGATACGGATATGGATACCGAATTCTATCAACAACCGGTCACCACACATTTATCCGAATCTGAGGAGGAGTCGGTGTCAGAGGTGAGTTTTCAAATGTTTCTTTTCGTCTCTATTTTGTTTTGTTTTGTAAGTGACAAAAGAACAGATCTTGTTCATGTTTATTTGTGTGTGTTTTTCTCTATAGTTCACTGAGAGCCAATCAGAGAAAGGCGTTAATTCTCACTGTAAATATACAAAAGAACAGGCGTTAACATTTCTGTTAACAAAATACTGTCGGCAAATTTTCGATTAGTGCTGCAATAAAATGTGCAAAATGTACACTTATAAATTCAATCAAGTTTATTCGTTCAATTAAACAAAAATTAGTTTGTTGGTTACAAAAATTAATGTAATCTGTGTCTTTTTTGTATGTACTTTATGGTAGCAATAACAGAATACCATAAAGACATCTGCTAAACGATCGTAAAAATGATTTCTTACAGCTTTCTGATATGCACGTTGTGCCTCAATATCGATTTACTTATTTATTTACTTACGTTGCCGTCACTTTAAAAAAATTCTAGTAATTATGGTTTTAAACCACGTCACCGTTTTCGATTGTGATCTGGGCCTTTTGTTATTGAGCATGTACTTATTTTATATATTTTTTAAATTAATTGGCTTTATCTTTTTTAAGTCGATCGTGCGGTGCTTCTTCGCTATCAGATTTTAGATAAGAAGTTGTCGATTTATTAATCGCTGTTATCAGAGAGAAAAAAAATAGCTGGTTGTGGGAAAGTCGTTAATTATTGAATTTCAAATAAATTTCGTTGGAATTACTGAATGATGCACTTGCGTATTTTCCTCGTGCTTAAACAAATATGTGATATATGCAGCCGTTATTATTCCCTCTCTCTCTCTCTCTCGCTCTTTCTGTCTTGCGTTGCTGAAAAACCAGTTTGTCCCAAGTAACAATTTTGTATGACTCGTTGCTTAAGTCTTTTTCTTTGCGGTGAATTGGGAATTACATTCGATTACATACATACACGCACATACATACATAAATAAATCAGCTGTGCAGCTGCTGCTACTGTTTGTGTTTGTGTGTACGTCATATGGGGCTAGCTGTATGTGTGGTTGTTCAAATTTCTTTGTCTGGCCTTTTGTGGCGTTTGTGTATACATTTAATATTCGATATACAGTATATATATATATATATTACAGATTGCCCACTCAACCAATGAGAGGTCATTAGCCAATTCTTTTGGGTTGTCTCAACAATTCGTAAATAAACCATAAAAATATAACCTGATCTCGAAATGCATGCGTTTCTTTCCGACTTTATCATCGTTTATTAATGAATTAAATGCATTCATGCATTTCAAATCAACAATGTGGTTTTTGGTTAGTGGCACATTTTGAGTGGTGTCGTGGTGTTTGCAGCTTAAATTTACGCTAGCCTCAAAGCAGTCTGGCAACGCCATTCGCCTTCATTGCTGTTGTTGTTGCTGTCTTTCGTTTTTCGTCTTTTTTTTATTTAGTGAAATCGTGTGTGAAAAGAAGAATCGCGAAAAATTGTAAAGCAAACTTAGAGAGACGACACAACATAATAATAATAATAATCGTAAATAAAATAATCAAGGTACAAAATGCACGTAGAGTGTAATGACCGTTTAACTTATCCACTGTAGCATATTAAGAGGTCAAATTGCAAATTTTTTTTTCGGGTGTAACGTGCACAAAAAAAACCCCACAATTTATTATTTCCACAAGCAGACAGACAGCCATACGCACAGACAAACACACACAAACATTCATACTTACAAACACACACAAACATTCATACCTACAAACACACATACACACTCCAACGCCCGAAACGAGAATTGACCAACCAAAGAAGAAAATTCAAGCAGCGAACGACAAGCAGCAGAAAAAAAACGCATGTCGTGGCTGCGACGGCGACGCCGACAGCGACAGCGATTGAACTCGTTTGAATTTTGTTCTTTATATTTTCTCTTGCAGCACACACATACATCCATATATATGTATATTTATGACAATAATGTGCACATGTCTGTATATATATATATATATAAATTATATATAAATTAAATATATATATATGTATGTATTCATAATTTCTCTGAATTTTTGTCTTGTTCTTTTCGTTCATTCATTCAAAGGTTACGGGCAAAATCTGTTTGGCGTCGTAAAAAGCATAAATTATGCTCGAAAATTTTAGCATTTAATTTCGCCCCTAATGTTTAGGCATGGTTGCAAAACAGATATACGGACAGACAGACAGAGCCTAGAAGAAGAGCCCATTTGCCTGTGTTGTGTGACCTCCGTTTAAATCAATGCACACCAACACAAACGCATACATATATGTATGTCCATACATATTTTGTACACACACATACATACACACATGCATACACATATGCATACATATATACACACACAGTGCAACTGATGGCATGACTCATTTCATTCTTTAAATTCCAAAGAAACCGTTTCCTTCGCTTGCTCGCTGTTCCCCTTTGACTTGCGAATTTCTGATAAAAAAAAATATAAAAACAAATAAAAAAAAACCTGCCAGTCAGGCAGGCAGTCGAACACGGCACGCACGCACAAATACAAGCGCGGCCGAGTCTCATGTGTATTGGTTTTGAAGTGGAATAGGATGGAAATGGTAATGAATGAAAGCAAAAAGCATACGGGCAACAATAACTTGATGGTATATTTTTTGCTTAGTGCTGCTGTTCTTCTTCCGATCTGGCAACGCTGCCTTGCCGATAGAGATTTGCCGCATATTTTAGGCAGCAGCAACAACAACAAGAACAATCATTTGTTGTTTTTTTTTAGAGAAAATTTCAATTCAAAAACACTAGTAGGCCATACGAATATAATGACATTTCATTTTTAATCTCTGTCAATTCAACTAACACGGAAAAATTCTTGTTCAAATTGCACTTGTTATCGGATAAATACTCATATCATTCAAGAAAGGTGCAATCGTCGGTTTTTTTTTTGTCTTATTTTGTTTTTATAAATATTTATATAGTATTATGAGTTCAATTAAAGATTTTGTACGGCGTGCAGTTTCCACAATGGACGTTGTGTTGCAGTTATTTGTTCACGTAATATCATCATGTTCTGTTTCCTGGACTTTCAAGCCAAAGCAATCCAAATCAAATCAAATTGAATCAAATATCAACCGCAATCAATTGGATTATATTGAATTGGGTTTAATTTTCATACATGCATTTTTAGCTTCAGTTATTTTTATTATTTATGTATGTTTCTTACGTTTCTCTTTATTTGTAGATCCTATTGGCATTCTTGTGTTTAAGGCCAGATCTCCTGGTAAGTTTCGCGTTATAAATGCCACTAAAAAAAAAAACAAAAATCAACAATAATAATTGAAGCGTTACAAAACTAGTTTTTGCCATTTTTTTAGACCATTTGTCCAAAAAATTTCAATTAGCTCTACTTACCAAACTAAAAAACCCGCAACGAATTGTTTACCAAATGCTTTATTAAGGTTTAACTAAAATTGTTTGGTAGTTTGGCCAAAATGATATACATGTTATTGTTGTATGCACTTTGATTAAATCTACCTAAATAGTTAATAAAAACAACCCAGCAAACAGCAAGGCAAAATGGGTTGTTCTTGAATAATAATTATATTGATAATGATAATAATAATGATAATGATAATAATACTACCACTTGGATTCTGTAACAACACACAAAACATCACATTGCTGGCCTTAGACGACAAGAATGTGCTCTTTAAGTGCTCCACTGATTAGTTCTCAAGCTTTAATAATAATTATAATATAATTTCCAGCAAACTCTTCTTTCTTTACTCACCCTTGTAACTTGACTAGCATGAATCCATTTATATAAAAACATATAACCCTTATAAAAGGAGATTTGCATTAGATCTAATTGCATATTTTATTTTTTTTTGTATGTTTTCAGGATGATATACCCGAGTCTGATCACGATAGCTGTCCGCACGAGGAGGGCGAAGTGCTCGAGGATGAGGACGAGACGGAAGAGGAATCGGAAGAATCTGATGAATCTGAAGGTGACGATGATGAGGATGACGAAGAGAACGGTAAACGATTGTGTTAAACAATATCTGATAATAATATTTTAATAAACAAAAAAACAAAATATAGAACAATATGTACTGCAAGAGAATGATGCGGATGACGAAGACATCGATGATGAGGATGACGACAAGGATGCGCCCGAGGTTAAGAACTTTCTGCTTGAGCCAAATAAGAACAAACGTTCAAGTAATCTCACCGCCCTGCTCACAGCAGCAGCGAATGAGAAAGCGCCCGTCCTCCGTCATGCAACTCATGCTATCGATGAAACCAAGCAGGCGCTAACCAAAATGCGATGTGCCAACAGTCCGCGAGACAAAAAGTGAGTATTCATAGACAGAGAGAGAGCGAGAGAGAAACAAAGAGAGAGAAAGATGTGGATAGCTGCCTGGATAACAATTGTTAACATATATGTTTATCCATTAATTCACAGTAGTGTTTTCTCGCGCAGCCTTGCCACTGCCTGCGCCGACAATGATGTCAACACCGTGAAGCGATTACTTTGCAAGGGCAACCTGAACGATGCAGCCGCCTCCACGGATGAGGGCGAATCCTTATTGTCGATGGCTTGCTCCGCCGGCTACTATGAGCTGGCACAGGTATGTATCGATTGGGATTGTCTAGCAACTAGTAGCGTAATATTTTTATATGTCTCTTATCATCCAAGAGTCATAAAGTCGGTTAACTGATTTATTATTAAATGTAGATTCTATTAAAAGCTATAAAAGTTTTAGCTATAGTTGCAATATCGTGTCAACTGAAAATGATATTTGAAATGTTATTTAACATTCGATGAATTTTTTACTCGTTTTCATGTCGATTGTTTAGGCTTCTCAAAGCAACGTCTCAGTATTCTGTTTTTCAATCGAATTTAGACCTTTCGAAATACTGATTTGGAGTTCTGCACATAACTTCATAATTACGAAGCTTTTTATTTTAATGTTTTAGAGAAAATACGTTCAAATCGTTTAGCGAAGGAATAAGTTACAACCTAAAAGAATATTTGTATTCTCCTGCATTTTTGATCAATTTCGGCTTATAAAAGTATTAGTTTTATCGTGTTATTAAATATTTTTGGTTGGTATTAATAAACAAAATTGTGAAATCGGGCAACTCCAATTCTATCGAGATCGAACAAATTCAATGCAGTCCTGGCTTGTGTGGCAATATCATTTCTAGTTCACCGGGTGGCAACGTCCTGTTGCACAGATAAATTATCGATAGTCAAAAAAAAGTAGCTGCACAAAAGAATTTTTATTATTTTTTTTTTGGAATTTCTATTGATTAGCAACAATAAAAATAATTTTGGTAAATAAAGTAGCGCTAAATCGGTTCAGGATATGTGCAATCAATGTTAACAGAACACGAATCAAATACGTTGTGTGCTCTTGTTCGGTATAGGTTTTGCTGGCAATGTCTGCGGCACAGGTAGAGGACAAGGGACAAAAAGACTCGACGCCATTAATGGAGGCCGCTTCTGCCGGTCACTTGGACATTGTGAAACTGTTGCTCAGCCACAACGCCGATGTGAATGCGCATTGTGCGACTGGGAATACACCGCTGATGTTCGCCTGCGCCGGTGGACAGGTGGACGTTGTCAAAGTGCTACTGAAACATGGCGCCAACGTTGAGGAGCAAAACGAGAACGGACATACACCATTAATGGAGGCAGCCTCCGCCGGGCATGTGGAAGTAGCAAAGGTAAATTATATATATATATATATTGCTAAATTTTATTAAGAAAATTCTAGATGCATTTTTGTGACAAGTGATTAGAATCCGAGATTTGATTGTTTTTTGCTGTTTGTCCCTCAATCGAGAATCGAGTTACTGATTTCGATATTTGGTAGAGCATCTTACATGATTTAGTTTGATCTTATCTGATGCACACGAAATTGTTGTACTTTGTTATAAATATATATATATTTATATATATTCTCAATTACTCATATATTTGATAATCCACCTTGTAGGTGCTGCTGGATCATGGTGCCGGCATCAACACCCACTCGAATGAGTTTAAGGAGAGCGCCCTCACCTTGGCCTGCTACAAGGGTCATTTGGATATGGTTCGTTTTCTGCTGCAAGCCGGCGCAGATCAGGAGCATAAAACCGATGAAATGCACACGGCGCTGATGGAGGCATCAATGGATGGTCATGTCGAGGTGGCACGCTTGCTACTCGACTCGGGAGCGCAGGTTAACATGCCAACGGATTCATTTGAATCGCCGCTCACCCTGGCAGCTTGTGGTGGTCATGTAGAGTTGGCACTGCTGTTAATTGAGCGCGGCGCTAACATTGAGGAGGTCAACGATGAGGGCTACACCCCACTGATGGAGGCGGCACGTGAGGGGCACGAGGAAATGGTGGCACTGCTGCTGACTAAAGGTGCCAACATAAATGCCACCACCGAGGAGACCCAGGAGACGGCATTAACGCTCGCCTGCTGTGGCGGTTTTAGTGAGGTGGCCGCCTTTCTGATCAATGGTGGCGCCAATTTAGAGCTGGGCGCCTCCACGCCGCTCATGGAAGCCTCGCAAGAGGGCCACACCGATCTGGTTCGCTTTCTGCTGCAGAACAAGGCAAATGTGCATGCAGAGACGCAAACCGGAGATACGGCGCTGACGCATGCCTGTGAGAATGGGCATACGGATGCGGCCGGTGTGCTCCTCTCGTATGGGGCCGAGCTCGAGCATGAATCAGAAGGCGGTCGAACGCCGCTAATGAAGGCCTGTCGTGCAGGTCACCTGTGCACAGTCAAGTTCCTCATCCAAAAGGGCGCCAATGTCAACAAGCAGACGACCAGCAATGACCATACGCCACTCTCGCTGGCCTGTGCTGGTGGGCATCAGAATGTGGTGGAGTTGCTGCTGAAGAATCATGCGGATCCGTATCACAAGCTCAAGGATAACAGCACAATGCTGATCGAGGCCTCGAAGGGTGGCCACACACGGGTTGTGGAGCTGCTATTTCGCTATCCGCACATCTCGCCCACAGATCTGGGAGCTGGGGGCGCGAATGCGCAGGCAGTGAATCAAATACGCCAGCAAAAGCTATTGCAACAGCAGATCCAACATCAGCTGCAGTTGCAACAGCTGAATGCACCACCCGGCCTCCACGAGGTAACCGAAGCGGCACGCGCCAACAATCAGCAACTGTTATACCAGCAGCAATTCAGCGGCAACTCATCCAACAACAACAACAACATTGTTGCCCTGGGTACAGGTGATTTTCTCGACGCCGGTGAGCTACAGCTAACGGCTGCATCTGCTGCAAGTATCTCGGATGCGTCCACAACAGAGGAGTATGTCACGACTGTGGGCAGTGCCGGAGGCGGTGGCGTCGGCGGCGGTGGTGGCATCGATCTAACCACATTGAGCGCACAACAGCAGGAGGGGCTGATTGCGAAATCGCGTCTGTTTCATCTGCAGCCGGGATTTGAGCAACAGCAACAACAACAACAGCAGCAGCAGCAGCAAACGACAACACTGCCGCCAACGGGTGGCCATTTGGTGCCTTGCAAGCACTTTGATCTTGATATGGAGCACATCAATTCATTAACGCCGCCGCAAAAAGCACCACCAGCACCACCCGTTATGATGCACACCGTTTGTCAGCAAACTGTGCTACAACAACAGCAGCAACAACAACAGCAGCAACAACAGCAGCAACAACAACAACAACAGCAGCAACAACAACAGCAACAACAACAACAACAACAACAGCAGCAGAAGATGCAACAACAGCAGACAAAGCTCAAGGGCGTTGGTGGGGCGCGTAAGAATCGCCAGCTTTTAAGCGAGCTAAGCTTTATTACTGACTTGCCGCTGGATGGGTTTGTATTTCCGGTTGAACAGCATTCCGATCAGGTGCGCTCACAGCCCCTTGGCGAGGATGACAAACAGCAACAGCAACAACAATTGCAGCAGCAACAGCAGCAGCAATTTGCCTGTGCTGGAGACGAACAACGTTCGCAGCGGCGACGTGGCTTTGATGCGCCTTGCGACTCTAGCGTTGGCACTGATGCGACTTTGGAGACCACTCAGAAAGGTAAACTCCGAGAAATGCATGCAAAAAGAATGCAATAATAATGTAATCTTTCGATTAGGTGCCACTGCCAATGATACCAATCAGAGTTCATTCGTTGCCAACGAGAACGCCTCGCAAATTCCAGCAGCGGTAAGTGTTAAATAGATTTACGCATTTGGGCCATGAGTGAGATGCTGATGATGAGATTCTTTGCACTTGTAGCTTAACACTGGCTCTGCAACTGGCACCATCACCCACTCCTCGGAGGTGCTGCAGAGCACGGCAATCAGCGATCGGCCCAAGGTGAAGGCCATCAATAAGAACAATCGCAAGCAGGCGGCTGCTTTAGCATTAGCTGGCGTAGCTTCTGTTTCGGCGGCAGCACAGCAGGGCCAGGCATTGCCATTGCAGCAGAATCAAATGGTCTCCATCTACAACAGTTTGGTAAGCCTTTATCCGTAATAAGAGCTAAATTGTATTTTGCTGTATTTATATATTGGTTATGTTGATTAACAATGATTAATATTCGTCCGATTGCAAACTGTTTTCAAAATATCCTAAGCAAGGCGTAGATCTGATTGTTATTATCATAATTTTGTTTATGGAAATGATTGATCTTTCTAGAATTTGAATTTAACAAATATTCTACGTATTACAATTTATACTCCTAATTAATGAATACAATTCATACGATCACAATAGCAAATGCAGCAGGAGCTTCATCTACAGCAGCAAATGCAGCACATGCAGCAGACGCAGCTACAATTGCAGCAGCATATGCAACTGCATCATCAGCAACAGCAGCGTGCCGCCGCCTCCGTTGTGGACTACTCCAATTCACCGGCCTCTCCCATGGCCTCACCAACGGGCTGCAGTGGCAACAGCAACAGCTTTACCGACCAGCAGCAGCAACAGCAGCAGTCGCAGAATCCGCCAATCGTCGAAGGTGGGGGTAATGAGGTGCTGCAGCACAAGGCTGCCATGGAGGACTTTCGCGGCCTGCTTGAGACTGCGGTCAATGAGTCGAGAGGAAATGGCGGCCATTCAACGCTGACATGCTTCAATGATAAACTGGCACCGCAGCTGAAAATCTTCAAGGATGGCTGGCAGATGCACAAGTTTTTTGGGGAGCAACCCAAGTCGCCAACTGAGACGCCGCCCGAAATGGAGGAGACCATCATGTCGCCTTCTTTGGAGCGCGTCGAAACGCGTGCAGAGATGAAGAATTTGGCCACGCTGTGCTCGGCAGCAGCCATGGCGGCTGCCGTAACAGCAGCTAATAAGGAGTCCGAAGAAGTTGCAACTGATAACGAAAGTGATGAGGGCGAGGGCGGTGAGGTCGAGGGCGAGGAGAATACTCTGCCACCTGAACCTATCGATCTGACTGACACGATCATTGAGGAGGAAGTGGAAGACGATGATGATGATGATGAGGATGATCCGGACACGCAAAGCGGTGAGATTGAGAAACTTAACTACGACGACGATGATGCGGATGCTGAAGTTGATGATTATATCGATGAAGACGATGAGGGCGACGAGGAGGACGATGAGTTCTTCCTGGACGTAAACGTCGCCGCTGAGAATCGAATCGACAGTAATCCACAAAGTGGCGCAGATCTGCCGTCAAAGCAACGCAAATTGTCCACAAGACTGGAGAATCTAATGCTAACCAAGCCAGATATGCTGGCAAAAACATTATGCGATTTCCGATCGGATTTGCCCAACTCGGAACTGATGCATATGCTGCCCATCAAAGCGGCAGCCGCCAACAATGCAGCTTTAAACAGTCTACTACAACAGCAATTGGCTGCTGCCACAGCGGCCGCAGTCCATGCCAAGGCTCACAGTCAACAGCAACAACAGAACTCGGAGCAGTGTGGTAAGCAGTAACGCATTGTACAATTAAGTTGCCTATGTCGCTCAATGCTAATCTCGATATCTTTATTAGATGATGCCGCGGCAGTTGCAGCAGCTGGAGAGCTCTATGGTGGTCTGGAGCATTTTGCCAATGATGGAAGCGAGGGTGCACAGTATGATATCACCGGTGAAATGGAGGATATATTTCAGGTACGTAAATGATAATGCACATTCTCGATAAGAGCATTTCTCTTGGGGTTCTTGCTTGCTTTAACGATTTCACCAATTTGTTTTCTCTCTGTAGGAGCTGGCAGAGAATTTGCATTATCCCGAACTCGCCGAGTTTAGCCTTAATCAGATGTGCAAGGCTCGATTCACCGGCCATTGGTCACAGTCGCCCGGCAAGTGGAGCGGACAGGAGCAGCTGTTGGCAGCAGCAGCTGCGCAGCATTCGCAGGCATTATTGAGTGCAGGCGATGCGCCAACGGACGCCGCCCAGCAGCAGCGGCAGGCGAATCTCGTACTCCTTGACTATCCGATGCAGTCGTCGCAACCGGGTCTGCCACAACGTTTGCTCGATCCCGAGGAGCTGCAGAGCATGCAGGTATGTTAATAATCGAATCTTTATCTGTTATCGTTATTTTTATCCTTTTGATATTTATTGCAGCACCAGCAAACGCCCGTTGCATTATTGCCATTCTCTGCGGATAATGCTGGTGTCTCTGCCCCTGGAGGAAGCACACAACAGCAACAGCAAATGCATCAATCAGTGCACAACAGCGAGTTCCAGCTGCAGCAGCAGCATCAGCAACAGCAGATGGCACTGGAGGGTGATCCTGAGTTGAAACAGCAGCTTCAACAACTGCACCACTTGCAGCAACAGCAGCAACACTCGAATGCGCGCATTATTAAAGCTGTGGCTGCTGCAAGCGGTCAACAGCAGCAACAACAACAGCCAGCAGCCAACTTTGTGTACAATGTGGAGAGCGGTGACAAGAATACGCCGCCAGTGCAGCTACTATTTCAACTGCCACCGGCCATGTCACAACAGCCTCAACAGCAGCAGCCACTGCAGCAACAGCAGCTTGGCGATCAGACATCAGATCAGCAACAGCATCAGCAACAACAACAACCATTATTGCCCACGGAACAGCAGCAGCACATGTTCCAGCAGATGTTCCAGCATCGCGCCGAACGACTGATTCAACAGCAGCAACAACAGCGACCACCGACACAAACCGAACTGGAATTGGTGGCGCAAGAGTTGCTGCTGCAGCAGCGGCAATCGCCAGCAGTCGGCCCACCCGTTGTCGGTGTTCAGGCATTGGCCATGCCCCAGAGCCCAAAGCAGAAACACTACCACATGCAAGATCAGCTCATGCACATGCCGACAACTCCATGCGTACAGCATCAGGTAAGCAAAATATGATTTTAATCGATTTCCAAGCGCAATGTACAAACAACTCGTCAATATTTCCAGGTGGGCGCACATACTGGCTCCGTTGCGGTGCCTCAGCAATTCACCCAATTCGCACTTCAGCAGCAACAGCAGCAGCAACAGCAACAGACGGCTCAGCAGCAACAACAACAACAGCAGCAGCAAAATGAGTTATCAATTTGGCCAATGGCAACACCAAATGCAGCAGCAGGAGCAACGGCAGCTGGCGGTGCATCCAAATCAATGCCCGGCGGTATTGCCAAAAAGGCAATTGATAAGCAATCTCGCAAGGATCGACGAATTTTCCGGCAAACGCCCGCTGGCAGTCAAGGTACAAGCAATATTAACTACGATTAACTGTTTGTGTAGTTTGCTAATTCTAACATAAAACATTTTCTATTTATTTTTTTTCGCTCCGCAGTCAACACGAATCAACATCAGCAGCCAGTGGCGGCAGCAACAGCGGCGGCAGCAGCAGCAGCAGCAGCGGCTGCACAGCAGCAAGCACAACTACAGAATCAGCTGGCGGTTGCAGCTGCAGCAGCTGTCGATAAAACCATTGAGATTGATTCGGAAACGGAATCGAATCATGATACGGCCCTGACACTGGCCTGTGCCGGTGGCCACGAGGAGCTGGTGGAGCTGCTCATTAGCCGTGGTGCAAACATTGAGCATCGTGACAAAAAGGGTTTCACTCCCCTAATACTGGCTGCCACGGCGGGTCATGAGAAGGTCGTGGAAATACTGCTCAAGCATAATGCTGAGATGGAGGCACAATCGGAACGCACCAAGGATACACCGTTATCGCTGGCCTGCTCCGGCGGTCGCTATGAGGTTGTCGAACTTCTGCTCGGCGTCGGCGCCAACAAGGAGCATCGCAATGTTTCCGACTATACGCCACTCAGTTTAGCCGCCAGCGGTGGTTATGTGAATATCATCAAGCTACTGCTCAACCACGGAGCCGAGATCAATTCGAGGACGGGCAGCAAACTGGGCATCTCGCCACTGATGTTGGCCGCCATGAATGGACATACAGCTGCCGTTAAGATGCTGTTGGATCAAGGCTCCGATATTAACGCACAGATTGAGACAAATCGCAATACGGCATTAACGCTGGCCTGCTTCCAGGGCCGGCATGAGGTTGTCAGTCTTCTGCTCGATCGTCGTGCCAATGTCGAGCATCGCGCGAAAACCGGCCTTACTCCGCTGATGGAGGCCGCCTCCGGTGGCTACATTGAAGTGGGTCGTGTTCTCCTCGACAAGGGAGCCGATGTGAATGCAGCGCCCGTGCCGACATCTAGGGATACAGCACTGACCATTGCCGCTGACAAGGGACATCAGAAGTTCGTTGAATTGTTACTGTCGCGCGGCGCCAGCGTCGAGGTAAAAAACAAGAAGGGTAACTCACCTCTGTGGTTGGCCGCCCACGGTGGCCATTTGAGCGTGGTGGAGTTGCTGTACAATCACAATGCGGACATTGATTCACAGGACAATCGACGCGTCTCCTGCCTGATGGCCGCTTATCGCAAGGGTCACACCAAAATTGTCAAGTGGATGGTTCAGTATGTGTCGCAGTTTCCGTCGGATCAGGAGATGATACGCTTCATTGGCACCATTAGCGATAAGGAGCTGATTGATAAGTGCTATGATTGTATGAAAATTCTACGCTCCGCTAAGGAAGCCCAGGCGGTTAAGGCCAATAAGAATGCGTCCATATTGTTGGAGGAGCTCGATTTGGAACGGACGCGCGAGGAGAGTCGCAAGGCGGCCGCCGCACGTCGTCGCGAGCGCAAAAAGAAGAAGAAAATGGAAAAGAAGGAGGAGAAGCGACGCCAGCAACAGGTCAGCAGCAACGGCGCCGACGATGATCAGCAAGGCGACGACGACGATGCCAGCGACAATGACAAGGATGATGATACCGACAAGGAGGACGATGACGAAGAGGCGCCACCAGCACGCGAAGAGGGCGATTCGGGCATTGATCAGGGCTCCTGCTCAAGCGGCGATACAAAGGCCACTCGCGTCTCCTCAGCCAACCAGCAACAGGCGGATAGCAACAGCGGCGTCGTCAATCCGCCAGCGAAGAAAACTAAAAAGCAACAGCAGCAGCAGCACCAGAAGAACAAACAAACAACGCAGCAGCAGCAACCACCCAGCGAAGCAGCAACCATTGCACCAGCAGCGATGTCGTCGTCCACCTCAATTGGCAAGAGTGGCGGCCTGGTTCAGAAGAAGACACCAACTGGCGCTGAAAGCGTAAATAAATTGCCGTCCAGCAGCAGCAGCAATCAGCAAACGGTTAGCCAGCAACTCAAGCGCCAGGTGGAAGCCGCCAAAAAGGAGGAACAACAACAGTTGGTTGCAATGGCCACTTTACCCGCCATCAGCAGCAGTAAGAAATCAACTAAAGAAACGAGCAACAACAAGCGCGAGAAGGAGAATCTTGCGCCCAGGGAATCCCATGCGTCGGCAGCAGCACCGAAGCCACAAGCTGCCGGCTCAGCCAGCAGCAGCAAACTGCAGCCAGTTAGCAATGAATCTGTTAGCAACATTGCCACACGCAAGGAGGCGGTAGGCAACACACACAAATCAAACAGCAGCAGCTCAGCGGCTGGCGCAACGCAAGCCGCCAAGCGCAGCGAAGTCGATGGCTGGAAGGAGGTGGTCCGCAAAAGTAGCGCCCAACAAACAACAATTGTGGGCGGCTCCTCCTCTTCCTCATCGGGCGCTGCATTATCGCTGGGCGCTGGCAGCGCAAGCAGCACAAATATGACGCCAAACAATTCAACAACGAGCATAAACAGTGGTGGCGTTGCTGGAGGTGTAGGCGGCAGCAGCATCATCCAGCATCATCATTCAGTAAGTAGCTCCAGTTCGAACTCATTGGCCGCCAACTCCGTGCCGGAGATGACGTGCAAGAAGGTGCAAGTGCCGGTGAATGCCATTTCACGTGTAATCGGACGTGCCGGCAGCAACATAAACGCAATACGCGCCACAACCGGCGCCCACATTGAAGTGGAGAAACAGGGCAAGAATCAATCGGAGCGCAGCATTACGATTAAGGGTCTGACCGATGCCACCAAGCAGGCGCACATGCTCATCCTGGCGCTGATCAAGGATCCCGATGTGGACATCCTGCAGATGTTGCCACGCATCAATAGCAGCATCAAGGCAAACGCTGCCGCACCATCAGCAATCACAACAACAACAACAACGCCCATGCCCGTTGGCACCTGGGATAACCGCACGGCTGCCGTTGGCGGTTTAACAACAGTGGGTAACTATTCCTCAGCAGCATCGACAACATCCACATCGTCGAGCTCATCGGCCAGCTCAACGCCAGCGGTGGCCTACAGCGGTGGCCAAGCTCACTCTGCTCACAATGCTAAGCAGCAACAGCAGCAGCAGGGCGGATCCTCCTCGAACGGCGTTAAGGCACAAAGCGGACGGGGCACTGGTGGTGGTGGTGCCTCCAAATCGAATGCCGCCGGCGGCAAGGCGTCCGCTAGCTCAACGCGTGGTCAGAGCAGTCGGGCATACAATAGCTCCACTCAGCAGCAGCAGCTATCGTCGATTCGTGGTGGTACATCCTCCACCTCGGCCAATGGCATTGTGCCCACTCAATCCTTGAAAACCAAACAGGACAATGTCGCCGCTAACAGCAGCAGCAGCGGCACCCTCAAGTCCAGCACAACGTTCACCAGTCAACAAAAGAGCTCTGCTGTTGCAGCAGCACAGAGCAGCAAATTGTCGCAAAGCTTTGGCATGAAGGCGGCCAACCCAACTGCTGTGGCACAATCACCCAAAAAACTAGAAACAACTGTGGGTGGCACGGTTGGACGCAGCGGTGGCAGTGTTCTTGTTGCGCCTTTTGGCCGTGGCAAGCCAGTTGGCGGCAATGCTATCTCCGTTTCGCAGTTGGGCACCAGCAGTAGCAACAGCAATAACAACAACGGCAGCAGCAATAACAACAACAACACATTGGCTGGACCAATTGGTACTTTCAACGTGGCTGATGCTGCGGCGGTTAACGCAGCCGCAGCAGCAGCTGCTGCCAGCCTAATAAGTAGCAGCAGCAGCACCAACAACAACATTGTTAAGCCACGCGCTGTTACGCCCATTGCACCGCCCAAGCGCAATTTCTCACCAATACCGCAAGCCCAACAACAGCAGCAATTACAACAGCAGCAGCAACAACAACAAAAGCAGCAACAGCAGCAGCATCAACAACAACCACTACTACAACAACAGCAGCAGCAGCAACAAGCAGCAGCACCAGCACAGCTACAATCACAAACGAATAACAACAACAATCAACATCAGAATCTAGTAATGTTGAATGATCTGTACAACGATGGCATCAGTGCCTCCGTGCTGGCCGATAAGTTGTCCAGTGCATATTCCCTCTTCGCCGACTATCATCATTCGCAGTGGGGCAAATTGGCTGTCGATGGCAATGCGATTGCTGGCAGCAGCACTGGCACTGGCAACGCTGCTGGCTGTGGTGGCATCAATGCGTTGGTGGGTGATGTTCTGCCACAGGCAGATGCTTCCAAGGCGCCGGGCTATAATCGCAACATACTCAGCTCGCCTGTGGGCAGCTCGAAGGCCTCATCGAACCATTCAACTTCGCCGCCCGTCGGCAATGCAGCAACAGCGAACCCAATACAACACCAGACGCCACAACAGCAGCAGCAGCAGCAATCCCAGAACAGCCAGCAGCAGCAAAGTGTGCAGCAGGCGTTGAACATAATCACCAGTGGTGCTGCCGGCGTTGGTGTTGGCAACAACAGCAACCCATCAGCAGCCAGATCTCCACTTGTTGTCACAGAGACTGGTGGCAATGGTGTGGTCGCCACATCTGTGGGAGTAGTGTCGGTCAATGGGGGCACACAGGGACATGCCGATGGACATAGTTCGGCACCACTCACCCACTCGCCGGGAGTCATCAAGCCACCATCGGCCCCGATCCAACGACCGACGCTGCCCATGCAGATGAACGCACCGCCGGAATCTGTATCAGCAATATCGGCGAATGTAGCCATGATCGATCGCCAGGTGCAGGATTTGCAGCGTATGCAGCGTCTCTATGAGCCCTATATGGTGGATGGCATGATACGCCTGAATCCCCGATCATCGGTCTTTGCCCAGGGCAACAACAACAAGGCACAGCAGCAGCAGCAGCCACAACCACCGAGTGGTGGTGTTGTTGGTAATCAGGCACAGGTGCAACAACCATCGAATATGTTTGCCAATCCGGCAAGACAAGCGCCTGGCGCACGTCTCCAGCCGCTTGGCGGGGGAGCCGGTGGTGTGGCCCCGGCTCGCTGGTATGGTGGCGCCTTAGAGTATCCACCGTACAGTGGGCGTGACATGCATCTGCATCTGGAGAATGGCGGCGGACCATTGGCCGGTTTGAGCTCACCATCTGCCATGTCACCCAATCATGATGACATACGCAAGATGCCGCGACCCATCGGCACCGAACGCGCTGCCTCCTGGAAGTACAATAACTACAATGTGGCCAACTCGGCGCTCAGCATGGATGATACTTTAACAAGCGCATTGCCGCCATGGGCGCATGAGCCCAAGGCACAGCCGCCTGGCCTCCAGCAGCAGCAACAGCAGCAGCAGCAGCAGCAACAACAGCAACAACAGCAGCAGCCCCAACAGCCGCCCAATTGGCTAAAACAACACTACAGGCCATACAACAACGGACCCTATCCGCAGCAGCAGCACGAGCCAATGAATGTGAGTTGTGATTGCCATTTGTGTATGTTGATTGTGGATATATATTTTTTTAAAATTATTTACAGATGCCAATGGACTATCATAATATGCAGCAGCAGCCGCCACCGCAGCAGCAGCTTGTTAATTTGATGCCATCCTCGTATACCTTTCAGCATTTTGTGGGCGCGGAGGAGGTCTGGGAACATGAGAAACACGTGAGTTGTGCCCTGCGCTCTTTCAAATCGAATTAATTTGATAAACATTGTAACACTTTGCTTTGTATTTAGCAGCCATCCTGGACAAATTACTCCAACTGGTCAAACTGATGCGCCAGCGCAGAACAAGCAGCAGCCGCCAACGAATGCGAATGCAGGGGATCAACCTGGCAAGCTGCTGAAGATTAGATAAATCTAAATTGATTGATCTAATTGAAACGAACCGGCTAAGACGACCGACCACATCTAGGAAAAACAAAAAGAACAAGTCCAAGCCAATACTGAAAAAAGGAGTGCACATCGATCGATAACAGTAAAAACCGTCAGAGATATGAAAATGCCAATTAAATCACTTGTTTTTCAACGTTTTCTATGCAGCTGTACGCACAACACACACACATCCATACACACGACACACTCAAAAATCCAAATGCAGACATCAATCATCGACAACCCAACATCAATTATTTAGCTGCAGCGAAACAATAATCTTTGGCCTTATTCATAATTAGTTAACAATTTAAGTATTCTTTACCTTGGGCAACTATTTAAATTCACAGGTAACTTGAAATTTGGCATAGAAAGAAGCCTGGACTAGGAGCAACACACACACACATGCACACATATACAACACATACATATGCAAGCCAGACAGATAAATCATGGAAAAATTATATATTATTTATTTTAAATGTAATTTAAATAATTTGATATTCCTTGAAGTAAACAATATAAAACTTATATTATTTCGTGTGATCAAAACGAAGCTAAAATCGAAGAAACAAAAAGAATTCAGATGAAGAAACACACGTTTATTTTTAAGCTTAGAACTCAGTCTATTTGAATGAAGAAGAAAACCATGCAAAATTCAAATGAAATTAGCGAAAGCTTATTTACATATACATACATAAAAACCCATACACAAACAACACACATACACGAGAAAAAGAAAAACACTAAAACAGATTAAATATATATATTCATATTTAATGTTAATTAATAAAATGCAAACAACATGAATTGTGAATACTGTAAATTTAGGCGCGCACTTTCTCTACTTTTCTCCAAGACCACACGTATTGTGCGCTCGTCCTTTCGTCCTTCGGGGAGGCGACAAGTGGACAGGTGGACAGGTTGAAGACCGGGCAAATCCTAAATCCTAGCTAGAACGATAAAAAACGACGACGAGAGAATGCCTGCTCTGGCAAAATATTAACAAAAAAAAAAACCACAGCAACAAACAACAACCAGAAGAAAATTACATAAATACTACCACTATTTCTACTTATACCATGCATAAGCCAGAAACACAGAAGCTGCTTACCATTAGCCACACTAACTGTTAATACATTTGCGAAAAATCTACGAAAAATAATGCGAGAACACATTACAAATTACATAGGTATTTTTAGCTAAGAACAAATTACAAACACAAAAAACAACACACAAAAACATTTAAAATACAGAAAACGTTTTTTATTTTTGTTTGACAACTTTTGCATTGTAATTTTGACTGTCTTTTTGTTCTCTGTCGACAAAACTTGCATAGGGAACGGATACTAAAAATGTAGCTAGTAGAAATTTAAATTTGCTTAATTGACTTGAAGTAAGACAAGCATACACACTACCCACTCACACACTACACACCCACACACACATGAAGGAAGATTAACAATTTAATACTCCACTTAAGGGAAAAAAATGAAAAAAATTACACTTTGAATGCATAGACGATGTGAAAACGTTAAAGATTTAAACGGCTTGCCAACTTTTAATGCTTATCCGACACAACGCGTAGGAGGTCTTTAGAGATAGAGCACAACAATACACATACATACATATAGCGTATATATAGAACGTGTTTACCACAAATACAAAACTATACAATAACAACAAAACAAACACAATATGTAAAAACACTTGATAAACAAACGAAGAACTTCAACTTGATGATAAACAGCTTGCTGCGAGCTTCGCCATTTGTGGCGTGTGGCAGAAATTGCTTTGTGAAATGAAAAGAGAATATAGGGAAAACAAAAACATATATATATATATATATATATATATATATATATATATATATATATATACATTCATATACTTATGTGTGCATGTATGCGTTGCATGGTCTACTCTTGAATAACTACAACAAAATGATATGAAATTAAAGCATAACTAATCTAAGAGAATTAAAAAAGAAAAAATGTTTTTTTTTTTTTTTGCCTGTTTGGGTTTGTTTCAAACATTGTTTTAGCTGCAAGCAAATTATGTAATGAAAGCGAAATGCGAAAGGATTCGTTAAAATCATTTAAAACTTGTCACACAACTACACACACAAATATACACACACACACACACACATATGTATACTTATTCAAACACACCGGACGGATCACACAAACAAAAAACAAAACAAAAGAAAAGAAACGAAAACAGAAGAGATAGCAAAGAAAATAACACAAGTAAAAAATGCTGCTTTTGCAGCAACAGCCGTTATTAAGATCCCCTATCGACAAAAGCATAATTAATTAAAATTTTTTTCAAGCGAAAAAATGAATGTTCGTAGATTTATTAATTTAAAAATTAAAATACACAAAAAGTACGTCAAATATGAATGCGGAATATATATGCGGAAAGCAAAACAAAAAAAAATAAAAATAAAACATAAAAAAAATAAACTAAACAAATAATGAAAGCAAAATAAAAAAGAAAAAAACAAGAAAAAACCTACATACATATATGATATACATACATACTATACGGATTATTATTACTCTTATAATTATTATTGTATTGAAGGAAAAATATAAGAACATTAAACAGCATAAATAAAAAGAAATACAACAAAAAAATAAAAGATACGCTTCATTTTTGTGACCATTTATTAAGACATTTTTGGGAATATTATAAACAATTTGACTGTTCATTAAACAAAGGGCTCAATGGTGAACTCAACGACAGAGCATGGCGTGGTCAATTCGAAGGCCTGCAGCACACTGGGATGCAGGACACCGATCCTGCCTATGACAGCCGTGTTTAAGATGATGTTGGCGCAACGACCCGGAAAGTAGCTCGGATCTGTTGTGGAAGAGGCAACAAGATTAAGGATTACAATGGTTAATTCGGCATAAATATTAGTTGCCAATCTCACCTTCCGTTGCCTGAAGATGGTAGCCCTTTTCGGCCGTGCCCGTTTTCCAGGGCACCGATAGCAATTGCATGACACGATCCAACAGACCATGTACCACCTCAAATCCGGCGTTCTTGTTGCAATTGATTGCACACAGACGTCGCTCATTGCGAGCGCCCACCTCCGAGCTCTCGGCGACGACAACCACATCGCTAATCTCGAAGAGCTTCAGAGGCAGTGGCATCTTGCGATTGGCCACCAGCGTCTTCAGCAGACCGGGCACCAGCGTTGTGCGCACCACCTGAAACTCCAACGTTTTTGGATTGCCAATATGCACCGCTGGCAGCGATTCGATCTCTTTGTTCAGCTTTCGCGCAATATCATCGCGGGAGCATAGCGTAAAGGTCAGGGCCTCGGTGAATCCAGCTTGGGCCACCTGTTCCCGCAACTGCTCGGTCAGTTTGTTGAGTGGAAACTGCTTGGCGATTTGCATGAAAGCTGGCAAGGATTTCTTAATGTTGTTGTAGCCGAATGCAATCGCAATATCCTCATAGATATCACACGCATGTATGACATCGTGCCGGGTGGGAGGAATTTTTACGCTCAACGTATCCCCGTCCTTGGCATCCACTTTTGCCTCCAGATACATGCGAGTCAGCATATCAGCCAGCTTGGTGGCTGGCTCATTGATGCCAATGTAGGCATTGGCTCGTTTCACTGACACGCGCTCCTCACGCACCGCAAGCTCTGGATAGGAGACGGTGGTGCCATCCGGTTGCACCACATTGCATGGCTCCACCGTGCACTTTTCGGAGAAGAGGCAAACGATTGTGTCCAGCACCACCTTGGCCTTGGTCAGATCGGTAGCAGTGCATTCGATGAACACATTCTTCGTACTCAACGAGATCTTCGAGTGATCCCCATTGATGATGGGTGGCAGTGAGAGCACCACACGATTGGCATCGTAGATCACCGGATAGACGGGCGAGTCGCGTATGATGGGCAAATATTGCTTGAGCTGAGCGTGCGTCGCATAAAACTCCATCAGCTGGAGTCCGTTCAGCTGCTGCGTCTGGTTGAGAGGCACAAATTTGATTTGTTCCGGTGGCAGGGCCTCATAGCTGAAGGGTCCCTGGATGGTGTCCAGATCGTGGGTGCCAATGGCGACCAGCGTTCGCTTGCGGCAAATATTCTGATGCAGTTTGTCCTGCAGATCGATGAAGCTTTTGTACGAGTCCGGCGTAAAGCTCACATTACGCAGCACGGCGGCCACAGCGAACGGTCGAATCTGTGCAGTGGATGCGTCAATTTTTAGCACTTGACGCTGCACTGGATCCACTAATCGAAATATCGGTGGCTCCACTCTGCAAACAGGATTAGGATTATTTTAGTTGCGACTTTATTTGCTTGCAATTTGGCGCAATTTGTACTTACTTGCCCTGGAAAACACGCAGAGCGGTGACCAGGCCCTCCAGGCACAGCAAATCATAGCGGTTGGCAGGTATATCGATCCTGTAGATAATCTCTTCGCTTGCATTCGCTGCAGCTGCCACATCGCCCTGCTCTTTGGTCATCATTTGCTTCTCTGTTGTCTGTGTGATTCATGATGCACGATGCACTTAATCAAGGTAACTCCTCATCACCATCCACAAGCATCTACTTACCACTTCATCCAGCTCCAAACCGAAGGCAAAGCAAAGTTTTTGAAACTCGTCATCGGCTGTGGAAAAGGGGTAAACATTTGAGATTTGCAGTTCCACGTGGAAGTCGGCATCGCTGTTCAACTTACTGTACTTCTTGCCGAGCGCATCGAACAACAGATCACGTTTAACTCCAATTGTTGGCATACTGCTGGTTTATTTGGCTTACTAACTGCCCCTTAGTCCAAATTATGCTTAAATTGTATTTTAAGAAATAATTTAAAACGATTTCTTATCGTTTCTTTAGAGTGTGTACACACATAAAATGTTATGTGCGCAAAGTTGCTTAACATAACAGTGGCAATAACATATGCATTCACCGGCTAATTCCAGATAAAACTAATTGCTGTAAATATCTTTAGCTGGTTAATAAAACATAATAAAATAAAATATATGCAATGCAAAATAAGCAGTTCTTATAGAGGAAACTGCTCTAGTTTGAAAGCGGCTGACCCCTGAGTTCGAATTTAACAGAGACTACATACCGTAATCGAACTTAACATTGATATCGTTTACGATATTGGCCATTATTTGCTGTCGACACTGATGTGTTGAGTATGCAGTATTTTCCATAATACTGTTAAATAAATACTAATTTTAAATTGTAATATATTTGAATTGTCTTATGGTCAAATAAAAACAAATGCATGTCATAATCATATCATATCATAATTTGTGCAACTTTTACGCCATATGCTACCGTTTTTAGTGCCCTTCAGTTTCAAGTTAACGTTTCTATGCTCAGAATAAAATGCCACACATTGTGTGTTATGTGTGTGTGTGTGGCAAGTGTTATTTATGTTGCTTGTACGGATTCCAAATCATCGGAAAAAAGCGTGCGCTTGAGGCAGCTGTTGTCGCCTGGCGCACATACTCAAAAAAAAATCGGAAGTAAAGAGAGTTTACCTTTTTTAATCCATGTTTTTTTTTAAGAAATGTGCCGTAATAAGCAGTAAGAACGAGGTGTTTAGATCGCAAGCAGACCACGAACCACTCCAACTTCGGTCACCTTCGAGCCAGCTTAAGCAATTAAGCATGCAACGCGACGAACGCCGAGCGACGAGTGACGACGACGACGATCGGCCTCCTTGGCAGACGCGCGTCAGACGGCACCTAAAAAAAAAAGAAAAAACTTAAGCTGCAAAGAAAACACCAAAAAAGTATTGAACGCGTGTGGCCAAAAACTTAATGAAGCGTTAAAAAATCAACTTGTGTTTCCAAAGAGGAAAAAAACGCTGCTCCACTTTAAACAGTTATTATAGCTGCGTCTTGGTTGACATTAAACAAACTGCTTCAAGTTGTTCTTTTAACAATACTTCGAGTTATTTGCAGGGTAAAGCAACAACAAAAACAGCAACAAAAAACTGCTTGTCTATTTAGTTGCTGCTTTGGCGATATTTACGTGCCTATAAGAAACAGACATATTTAAGGACAAGTCGACTGCTGAGAGCAGCCAAGCAGATCGCGAGCAAAATACCGGTTAAATGCTCAAAATTAGCAGCGGCCACACTTGGCGCGTCTTCATTCAGTTGTAAGTTAATCATGCGCCAATTTAAGTAAATTGATTGAGCAGCCAAACTGAAATAATACTACAACCTGTATTAAATTGGAGTGACGAAATGATAATACTTATACTAATTCTAATATTACTTAGACTGCTTAAACTAATACTGTTTCAACTTGATGTAGACAGTGTTCGCTCTCTATTTATTAGATTTGTTGTGTAATTGTTCTTATTGTGTTTTGCTGCGCAAGTTCAAACAGCATACTAAATTTGATTCGAATACATCAGAATGTAATTTAAGAAAATTAATTTGTTTTTGCTGAAAAATGAACTTGAGAGAGGATTATTATATATTATTATTATATCTACTGGCAAATATATTTAATTTATTACAGTATTCATGGGTATAATACGGGTACAAAGGTATTGTGAACTTGTTCAAATGCTGTTGAATAGTAACACACACATCATGAGTGTTTAATTTTATTCGGAATTATAATTCGTTAGATATTCGAAAATCTATATTTTTAACTTTTTAAACAGCCTGGGATAGTTGAAAGATTCTAGCCACAATTTCGGATACACTTTTGCCTAATTAAGTCTGTGGTTGATATGAAATAAATGTGTGTTGTATTCAAGGATCAGCAAGGACTTTTGTATGGCTGACTACAATCATCTATTGTAGCTGATCTATTTCCCTCATAAATATGTATTAAATTGGTCAATTCTCTCAGACCAGCTAATATTTTGGGCTGGGCCCCAAAGGAATAATCAATTTAAAAACGCCTTCAACTCCGCTCGCTGTTGCATTTTTCATAAGCATGTCCTTGTGCTGCTGGCATTGTGTTTGTTTGTTCAACCCTTGAAGAGATTGATTATTGTTTATATTTGTGTGCCTCTGTTGTAGTTGTATATGCATGTGAATGTGAATATGAATGCATTGCAAACATATGCATCGCATCGCATATTGTGGCATGCGGCCAGGACGACTCAGGGGCCGTCGTCGACTTCGACGCCGACGCATCCATTTGAATTGGGGCAATTAAAGTGTGGTCAAACTCACGGCTGAATAACTCTATAAGCACGTGATAGATGAAAGACCTGCTGGACTTGCCAGCGATTTTATCCTGTGCTTCTCTACGTATTTATTTTTCCTCTTTTATCCCAACACAACAATGGCAATTAACATTAACCCCTTCGACCTGGGTTCGGGGCAGCGAGGGCGTTAATTCAGACACGAGTTCTTGGTCAATTTATCAAATAATGCGACCGTTTTCCTGGAAACCGAAATAAAGTGATTATCAAGCCATTCGGTATTGAAGCAATATTAACCCGAACATTTTTCATCTTTGGGATTGTCCTGGCATTGATTTTTCTTTAGCGTCGGCTCAATCGTTTGTAATTATATTAAATATTGATTTGATATTCATTATCATAATGCAGTCAGGCTATCTGCAGAAGCTCTCTAGACGAGGAAGACTTTGTCCAACACTTTCTTGGTTCTCCCTTTCTTGCAGATCAGAACAATTCATTGCCCGTTTGTGAGATTTGAGAGAATATTGCGAATTAATCGATTAATACAAATACATACATGGCATCTAATGTGTAATATTATGAAATTCTTTTTAGAACATAAAATATTAAGTATTAACATTTATTGGCTGTGGCTCTATTAGTTTGAGTGCCGACAGCTGAAGCGAATCTACCAAAATACATATATATTTATGAGAGAAACACTTTCTATATTTTTATTCATATGTGAATGCATTGTAAAATCTCAAAAATCCTTTGTTCTCACTACAAATACCGCAAATGGAGTGCACTAATTGCTAACTAGTTAGTTTTTCACACGTTTGCTCTAGTTCCAATTATGCGGCACACCTCTTCCGGTTCAACCGGCTTAAAATGGCAAAGACAGGCATATCAGATCTATTCATCATGTTGTTAGTAAGATGGGAACGTGTAAATGTGTTTTTCTCTTCTTTCTCTTGATTGGCAAACTCTCAGTCTTATTACCTGGCCACAACACTTGCCAACTGACCTGCTGCTGTGTGGTCAGATTCATTAGAAACTATCTTTATACATATAGGCATTATGCGATATCACAGTAATCGTATCTGCTGTTGAATATATCACTTTTCATAAAATGCAATTGTCACCTCGGGGACCTCCATGAACGGAAAACTGTCAACGAGGTTGATGCCAGAAAATGCTTCTGTCTGCATACAATTGGAGAATTACAGCGAGCGAGAGAGAGAGAGAGAGGTAGGGGCAGAGGAATGCCTTTATCAAATTGATTTGTAGTCACCCGACTCATTGAGAGAGCAAGTGCAAGTGAAGGCTTATCTGATGCGCAATTTTTCAATTTCACTAGCTGATGCTGATGTGGATGTGGATGTTGAGAAATGACCCAGCATCGATATCAGTTACAATTTACATTTGCAGTCAAAAGGTAAACATATCAATTACCAACAATCGAGCCCCGTTGACAGAGATGCTCAACTACAACATACCTAGATAGATACTTGTTTATACATACATCTATGTATCCATGTATGTTGTACTACTGGCTACTGGCTTGCTTCCTGGAAAGTCATTTCTCACACTGGGCATTTGGGATTTGTTTGTGTTTCATTTCAATTTCAATTTCTTTTGTCTTGTACCCCGTCTCCGACTCGGATCGAAGTGCAGATCTAGTCTCAAGTGTCGATCTGAAAAAGTGTTGCTACTTTCGACTTCTGGCTAAGTGTTTTTACGCAGACAGACAGACGGACAGAGCAGACCCTTCAGGTGGCAACAACTAACAGCACCTATGGGAAATTATATGAATTATATTAAACTGATTCCAGCAGGGACAAACAAAAATCCTTGAAACCGTTTGAAAGTTTCGCTTTTTTCCATCGTCTTTGGCTGCCGTCGCGACGCAGCAGACATATCCCCTTAATACTCTGGACATGAGAGGAAAGGGGTGATAATGTTGTTTAGCTAATGGATAATATATTTATATACACAAATATAAATGGACTTTTTTGGTAAATATTCCATATCATATCAAGTGGAAAAATAATATTTAAAATTGTGCCATGAAATAGCAGTGAGTCTTGGGCTTGAACTTGGATGCAGGGCATTCTATAGTTGAGCATACCTATCTATAGCATTTTAACTTGTCTTTAACTGCGATTGTTACCCTAATTTTTAGTCGTCTTCAAAAAATGAAACGGTCCGATCGCTGATCCAACCACGCGTTGGATCTCCACGTAATGGCACAATCAGCTAAAAATAAATAGCTATATAGCCATATATACACATATGCATACATATATATATATATATATATTTATATATGTGGCTCCGGCGCACGCGTGTCATTCTGGGCAGCAATCAAAGTGATATGAAAATTGCGTTTGGGTTCAACAGGTTCGTTGTTCTGCACACTTTTTTTGTTTGCCTAAAGGTTAAACGTGCGAATTTCACCGATGGCCGAAAGATGCAGGCTCCAGGCCCAGGGCCTTTATTTTTCTTCTTTTTTTTTTGTTGCTGTTTTTGATCAGCGGTCGATCAATGAGAATGAGAATATGCGAAATGCGAATGCGAATGCGAATAAGCCACGATTTCGCTTTTCGCTGTTAAACGTAATCGTCTGACTTTTTTTTTGTGAGCCACTGCTCCTGCTCCTGCTCCTACTGCTGCTCCTGCTCCAGCTCCAGCTCCTACTGGTGCCCATCATCGACCGATGCGTACCGTACGCGAAT